CATAACAGGTTACCGCTACTGTTTATTCCAAAAACATTGTGCGTCTTTTGGTATTAATTTATCTCAAAACCCAGCATTTTAAATTCTCAGAAACGATCATTGCGGGAAAATTGTGGGCCGGGACTAAGATTTTTGAACGATCAATGCGATAAAACGATAGTTCGAGGAACGATAGAAGCGGGAAAATGTAACATTATTTTATATGGGATGTATCCGGGACCGGAGAAAACGGACGATGCATCCGGGAAAACGATAGTTCCGGGAACGATGGATAGAGGTTTCACTGTAATACGTTACAGGAATAGCACAGATTCATTTTTGTAGGGTATTTTAATTCGTATTGAGATTTTAAGGGGCAGGGCCTTTTCAGTTGGAGAAGCAAGTGATAAACGCATGTGCTCTCTCTCTCTCTCTCTCTATATATATATATATATATATATATATATATATAGACTTGCCAGGAAGAAGAGGTTTGGACTGGAGAGCCAGATCATCTTTGCTTTAGGACTAAATCGCTTACCATCGAGATGAAGTACAGTATCATCTAAAAGGACATGTTCACTGACCACTGGAAACAGAAATATTGCCAAAAGGGTCATGAGTGACTACTACTGAGGAGTCAAGTACTATCAAGTAACTGAAGTGATACCAGTGACTGAAAAGCCATGACAACAGACCACATTGTTCACAAAAGAAGTACTGTCAGTGCAAACCTATAAGAGAAAAGACAGGAGTTGACAATCACTAGAAGTACCTGAGTAGTAGTTGGAAAGGGACTGCTCAACAATGATAGAAGAATTTCAGTGGGATAAATACAAAGCACACTGCTTGCATGAGGCCAAACCCCAATGCGACTAAAGACATTTAACAAACAACCAAGTATCACCAAGATTTACAGCAGTAAATTCTGTACATACTAATTCACTCAGTAGTACCATGGGTAATGTTTGGGGGATAAAATCAAGGCATGTATTGAGTTCTGGAATTCCACTCACCAGCATGTGGTGAAGTGGAGCATAGACACAACTATGCATGTAGTGATAGTGATCAAATGGCAGAACATAATTCAGTCCTTGTGAAACAATGCTAAAAATTGTTTGCACCTGGCATTCACACTATGTTCCAAACTGGTGAATACAAGTAGGATGACCACAGGAATAAATCTAGTCTCCTGGTGAAAGTTTTACCTTTTTAAAGACCTGCTGAAGAGAATGAAAATTATAAGTTCTACTGTGGGACCTATTACAGCAGAAGCTACATGAAAAAACCTGGCATAATGAAGCTAACACATTCAGAAATGAAGAAACAATGTGAAAAAGCAAAGTATCATTAAAATTAAGGGAGGTCTACTAACTACAGGACACACAGTTAATCATTAGACTGGATCCCACAGCTGACACGGCACACTTCTCGCACAGACCCGCGACAGTAACCAAACACCCACAGCCCATTTTTCCACTGCAGTTTAACTTACCTTATTTTATTGAAGAACCTCAAAGTGACAATCTGCTTCTAAGCACACCTCACATTGTGAAAATATGTTCCCAGATGTCAAAGTTGCAGTATGAGAATAGCAGATATTTCACACCTAATATTTTCTATAAGTTCTTCCAAAGAGTGCAGATTGTTCACAAACTTTTTCTTTCAGGATGCTCCAAAGACATCTCAAGGATTTAAACTAGATGACCGCAATGACCACAAACCTCAACTTATAACTCGTTCACCGAAGACTTCACGTCTCACATACCGCCCAGAATTGTTTCATAAAAAACACAGGTACAATTATCCTCTGTGCACTAATTGCACACCAAACCCAAACTGAAAACATGCAATGGCAATTCATGAAAAGTACAAGGATCTTCTGTTCTCCAGCAAGTTATTTTAGCAGTTTACATAACCAACGCGAACCATGCCTCAGCAGAATAAAATGCAAGTTCTGGGTCAAGAAGTCCATTGAATATTGATTCCTGAAACCACCTACAGTATCGAATTCTTGCTTCACAATCTTGAGGCAAAATGCTATGTATGACTCTAGTCTTTCAAGACTGTAACTGTAACTTTGAACTAGTGTGAGCTGTACTTTTTGCCAATGCAGAGGTTAAAAGACTACTTCTTCAACCTTGCTTCTAAATCGAGCCCCGATGTGAAGATTTTCTTCAGCCAGTACGCCTTTCTTGAGATTTCTTTGTCCAGCACTAATCCCACAGACAGTCAACTGATACAATATTATAAACTGCTGCTTTACATGGCACTGTACTGTCAAGATATTACCTACAAGACTTCCAACAGCATTTCCTGCATGAAGACTGCTGTACAACTGTATCATATAAGAATAATTTCTGTTCAACACTACTCTCCGTTTTCAAACTCTGTATTTCACAACAACGCAAACTTAATTTATACGTATCTCAAAGACCATGCTAAATATGCGGCGCTATCAAGATATGCAACCATCGAGTGACAAAGATGTTTCAGCAGTGGGCATGCATGAGCAAACAATTTTCTAGCCGGCCAGTCCAAGGACAAAAGGGGTTCCCTGTATACTAGCATGAAAATGTATTCCATATTTGCAATATCTGCTCAACTAATGAGAAAGACTCTATCAATAATTGTGTAGCATCCACACAATATGCCAACATGTAGCAATGCAGATAAAACCTAGCAAATTTTACCAGAAAATGTGGACCTCAAACAAGCCCAGAAAATACAGAAAACGTATCGCAGCTCGATGATTGTATTCAGTATTCTATCTAAACAAAGCAATAAAATATTTCCAGTATGAAGAGGGTTCATGATATAAAGTATATAAAAGATTAAGACTGAAATCCTTCTCACAGAAGTAAAGCTGCCAAAAGGATAATTCTCATTAAGAATCCACATATACCCAAAAAAAACCACTTGTTTTAATACCTGTTACAAGCTTTTTGACACACAGAAAACAACATATACAATGTGCATGTATGTATCAAGAAATAGTTCATGAACTTACCATAGTCTCCACGTCCCATGGGCCCTCGCATAGATCCACCAGCACTTGCACCTCTGGGCCCTGCTCCCCCAGGACCCCTCACTGGCATTGAGCTTGGTAACATGCTCGGGTGAGATGGTGAACAGCCACCTCTAACTTGCATCATCTGCATCATCCTCCTCTCCCTAGCACGAAGCATTTCCTCTTTCTTTTTCTTGTCAGAAGGTGGTTTTGCCAGTGAAACTTCAATTGCAGAACCACCCATCTCTTTACCATTGAGTTCACTCATAGCCTAGAGAAAATTAAAATAGATTTGTGGATTTCACTTCAGCATCAAACATTAAATTACTTCCAAAACAAATGTACAAGATCTTGTATAACTCTAGCGCAACAATTTAAAAATTACGGAACAGTAAATAACTTATGCAATAATATACACACCGTCATTGCATTGTCTCTATCTTCAAAGTGAATAAATGCATAGTCCTTTATCTTCTTAACCCTCTCTACTTTTCCAAAAGCTTCAAATGATTCTTTTAACTTCTCTTCTGAACAGTCTTGGGTAAGATTCCTTACGTACAGCACTTTCACCTATAAAGAGAAAAAATTTAAGTATCCAGAATATACAGTAATAATCTAAACTTCAAAAAGTGTGGTTCACAACACACTTACTGTCAATCTAATCCCAAACAGGTGTGCAAATATATCAGTTAGAATAACACTAACTATACCCAAAATTAAATTAAAAACTAAGAATGAATATGGGCACTATCACCACTATGTAAACATAAATTATAGGCAACAGAAAACCAGCCCACAATACTCAAAAATGAAAAAATTGGATAAATCAGTTTAACAAGACTGGAAAAGTAAAGGACAAATATAAAGTAATTGCTGTGGACATTATAGTACAAACACATCAATTCCCCAAACTGCCTCACAAATTTGTGTAAAAACAATACATCTAGCTTCACAGTTTCAATCCATTCCGAGTATATCACTATCTATAAAGTTGGTCATAAAAGAACACATTTCAACACAGAAGATCCACACTGTCATGGGAAGGAAATTGCAGCAAAAACAAATATATTCACAAAATTAAATTTTATATCAGTAACATACACAAACAAAAATATACTGTATTTCTTTGTGTATAAGATGCGGTGCCCATCTTCAAGGTTGAGTCTGATAGTGAATGACTAAAACCACCAATATGTCAGTCTTGGCAGTTCACCCTCCTTATTGGAATGTTACGATGGTTGAATCATGTTGTGTGGTCACTCCCCTGACTTGGGTACGGTACCATGCCACTTAACCGGGAGTACAATCTTGTCCCAATGGCAGGCAAGAAAGGAAAACACATCATATTCTAGTAAAAGTGACATGAGAGGAGTGACCACACAACCTGACTCCACCGTCTAAGTTATTTTGCATGCCAATAAGGAAAGAGCACTGCCAAGACCAGCTGATATCAGCTATTTTAGTCCTCAAACTTACCAAGAAGATGGGTATAAAGCTAGTCTTTGGAATGTTAGCATTTCACTTAACACTGACATGACCAATTGCCCAGGAACATTGTACAGTAAAACCCCTCTAGTTGGACACCCCTATATCCTGGACACCTGTATATTGGACATTTTTAATTGGAACTGGCGAATATCCTATAATTTTACATGTCCACAATACCCTATATATTGGACACCCCTTCATCCTGGAACTTGGTCACCCCTTTTTTTGCAAGTTGGACAGATGCATGCATGCAATTAGCTTCAATGCTTTTATGGGAAACGTTTACAGTTAGTATTTTGAATTTCTGACTGATGAATGCCGTCTACCTGAAGATTAGCTTATGGTTGGGGTGTGAGACATTGAGCATATCAATGGAATGCAGTGAAAGTGTGTTATTCTTTTGTTGAACCCTTCACTGGACTACAGTACCTATTGCTGGTACAGTTTTAACTTTGTCAGTACAGTACAATCCCACTATAACGCGGGTCGTGGGGGACAGGGGTAAACCCGCGTTACTACAGGAGTGCATCAGAAAGATTGGTACAAGTACTGGACGTACTGAACAGTACGTACAGTATTGATAGACAATCGCCATTTAAGAGTATACATACTTATTTGACTATGTTACAATTGATTTTTACAGAAAAAGTAATAAATAATTTATTTGGCTTGCATTTTAATATAGTTTGAGTTCTGTGTGAAGGATAATTGATGAACTTTTCTTTTTTTGTTGCACTGTGGGGGACATGAGGTACCCGCGGTATAGCGAACCACGTTATAGAGGGGTTGTACTGTACTGTGCTTGCAACTGAGTTAAACAGTGTTAACAGAAAATACAGTAGTTAGATTATGTAAGTAAATAGATTACATTGTCGGTAAACGTAAAGTATTGGTGCCCTTCCCTTTGAGCTTATCCATGCAAGTTTAATTTAGTGAAAACAAAATTTGTAAAAATTTAATTTACTCTTTTGATTTTTCTTATCATAATACTCTACAATTACCTCATTGTCATTACAACACAATTTGAAAGGATGATTTTCTCCTTTCCCTCTATCCTGGACACCTCTGTAAATTGGACACGTTATCGTGGAACCGCAAGTGTCCAAGTTAGAGTGGTTTTACTGTATATAACAAGGTTTTGGATGTAGATGGACTGTATACAGTTAGGTCAGAGGTCAGCAACCTTTTATGGGATAAAAAGTTTTGGTCACCCAGTTATACATGTCAGTCTTCCATTTTCCTTCTTCCCATGCCTGATTCCACACCTTCATTTCTGAACATGACTGTAGTCTATTAGTGTTACAACAAACTAATAAGTGGCTCTCAGCCAGTTAACACACAGCATGCGCTGTGGTAGCACTGTAATTACATACCAAGCACTTGAATGAAGAATAGCTCAGGAGACTTTGAATAGGTTGTGATGGAATGTATAGCAAAGAAATTCCAAAGGTGCTGAATACTAAACCTCTACGTAACAAACCCAGACTTATTTCATTATGACCTTGCAGATATATAATAAATTCCAAGTATTTTTTTCCCATAAAGAAAAACAGTGGAAGTAATTTTCTAACAGTTATTGTGGCTGTTATTAATAAAGAACCACATTATGTACTTATGGTTTCAGACCCCTAGATTAGGTTAAGGGCAGTGAAGCAGACATAGATCTATCACAGCCATGAGATGGCAAGGGGTGACAAAAATAGACCAAGCCAATACACAGATCCCCACTTAATGGTACCTACACCTTGTAGTGGTGGTGGGGCTTGAGTACCTCAGTGATCCCAAGAGCTATGCTGGCAGTAGCATAGCTACTGGTAGGGCCTCTCTAGCCAGATTGGTCGACGGGGAGAGGTCAGACTAAGACAGGTACCCTGGTCCTCCATGTTGGGGGTTGGTTGCACCGTAAAAAGGAAGATGTTTCAAAACCTCAATCAAAGCCTCGGACAGACAGTCCTAACAGGCAGCGGAGGATAGGATCGAATGGAAAACGAGAATTGAGGAGGCCATAGACCGAATACAGACCGGAGAGCCATAGAAGAATAATAGACAGATACTTTCCTGTGCCTAGCTCTTACTGGCCCAGAATGGACTATGTATGTATCCCTCCCTCCCTTAATCCCATGGTTTTGATTTATTGTCTGTGTACAATGATCCAATCCTCCCCTAACCCTACACAATGCATCAACATCCCAATCAACAATGATGACAAAAAAAACATTCCTCTTTAACCCTGGAATACAGCTTTAGAATGACACAATAATCTAGCACACAGCAAGAATGTATGGAATGCTAGAATTACATGAAATTTTGCCCACATCTACTATGCGTTACATTATTAAGTCCCTGTGACATGTGTGACCTGAAGTCATGTGCTGCACTACCAACAGACCAAGAAGTTTTCTGTCGTAATTCAATGTAAATTTTACAAGTAATACTTTATAACACCAAGTTATAAAATATAAATAACATACAGAACAGACTATACAGCGATATGAAAATGTCACATTTGAGCCATGAGTATAAGAAAACCTAGAACTCAGTCAAGGATGGTACTAATATGAAACATGTAAAAATAATCACCAGCACAATGCATGCAAATAAATATACCAGTACCTTTGACATCGTCGCTTCATCAGGCTCCTCCTGTGGATCCGCCCAGTCCACAATAATGTCACATCCCCATACTTTAATACGACCAGTGCCAAGACGACGCTTAGCAAGAGACGCTGCTTTATGAGATTCATATTCTAGGAAACAGAAACCACGATTCTTCTTTTTGTCATCTGGTGAACTGTAGATTATGACCTCAGTCAGACCAGCTAGACGAGGGGAAAACGTAAGCCCAAATATTAATCACCAAGAATAATACTCAACATTGCAACACTACATGAAAATTGTTTTAATTTTAAACCTCACTTATAAACAAGTAAGTCTTAAGTAGATTTTGGTTGTTTTAGCAAACTGAGGAGTATGGAGAAAGAGTAATCAAAGTCCATTTCCCCAAAATAAGATAAAATGGGCAAAAAAAACTTGTGGTAGTTAACTTACTGCTTAAAACACTATCCACGAACAAAACTATACAAAACTACTCTTATCATCAATGAAACAACTTGGGTATTCAGTTTTTTAATTTTAACCAGATCAAAGGACTGAAAATGGACTTTCGTATACTTTCCCCACTCCCTTCCAACATTCCCACCCCACATGCTCTCTTACAAAGATGCTGAGATGAAGTTTTAAATCTTTTACTGAATATGATTGTCATAAATACTGAAATCCATGTAATTTTAAAAACTATTTTTGTTAATAGAGAACTTTTCTCCAGCCAATGATTTTTTCAATGTGAAGTTTGGTGAAAATTTTCTCAAAAATTAAAGTGAATTATGGACGTAAGGGAGAGTCTCAACTTACGTGCATGTTTGGAAAATTCTTCAAACAATTCATCTCGATCTCGATTCTTGGGTATATTTCCCACAAATAAGCGGTGATTGTTATAAGAAACGGTAACGCCAATCTTTTTGCCTTTTCGAATTTCATAATCATTCAGCTGTAAGAACAATGCGGAAGGAAGATAGCCAATTAAGCTTGCCTGGAGGGTAGTGTGCCTACATAGTGCCAGTCAGGGTGGGAATGGGAGGACATTTATAGCCCTGCCTACCTGATCATTAGCAAGCTACCCTTATCAATTGTATTCAGAACTATACCTTACCTGCTTAGCTTGAGCCATGAATATTAGGATTAGCACTGGTGTAGGAAAAACCTACTTTCAGACAGATGGAACCTTTGGGTAATGGAATAATGAAATCAATATCCCTTCAAATAAATAGGCCTTACATAGGAAATCGCACAGGCAAAAGGAACCTCATGACTTAACCAAATTAGGAAAGGTTGCTCTTGAATATTGGGGGTAACCAACTAACAAACCGAGAGGCAAGGCCCGCAAGCGAGCCCCATCCAACCCTCCGGCCAGCTGGTGATCTCTACACTACTGAAATAATTTTCTCCTTCAGTACACATTACCTGTTAATTTACCAAACTCGTCCAGAATCTCCTCTTTGCCTTTAGACTTTGGAATGTTGCCCACAAAAAGTCGCAGATTGGGAACGCTAATGTTAACTTTCAGACTCTTGCCAGGTTTGATTTCATGATTATCGAGCTGTGGGATGAAGAGAAAAACACACACATGCCAAATTTGGGTGAGTGAGCCACATCAACAAGTGAAAAAAGAAAATCAAATTTAGGAAAAAATTTATTTCAAAAGAGGACAATTTTGTACCAACAACTACTGAAACAGGCATGCTCTTTCCTTGCTTCGCTCGATGCTTCACAATTTTGCAACCTGCAGTCCTGACGAAATCAGTGCCTCCTGGAACAAATTTTCTTACACCTAACAATTTTAAATTTCAAAACAATGTTTCTCAAACAAAACTACAAAGCAGCACCAAATACTTCACTACTGTAACAACACCCATTCCAATACATAACAAAAATATGCCAGTATATCCTGCCAGCTTCTGCGACAGAGCCATTACATGAGTTTGAATTTTGAACACTAACACAGCACTTATAAGCACACAAACAGTCACCCTCCAGTCCCAATTTTGCCCACTGAGCAAAGAGGAGATCTGGAAGCAACATTAACCTATATCTTCCAACAAATATAAATAACATTTATCATTTAAAACTGATTACAATTAAAATATTAAAACAATGCTCTGGTCATAAAGACTTCAAACTCACTCAGCTCTGCAGCTAAAAGCTTTTTTCAATCTAGACAAACTTCAACCAAAACCACAGTTTTAATGGGGAAAAACTGACATGGCTAACAAAATTGATAACACGTAGCAAATTTAATAAAAACCTTTTGAAACCCAAAACAAGTGAGTTTGGTACCAGAGTCTACCTACACTACTTTCCACTGGTGACAGCAAACCACTTTCACAGAAAGTAAGATTGGTAAATTCAAATGTAAACTGAAGTCACCACTACTAGAAAAGTACACATGTACATTTCAGTGAAAGAGGCTTCACTGTATTAGAATCAGACCACTACTGGAAACAAGACTGAAGCATATTTACCTCCCGCACTGCCAACTGAGCAGCATCTCTAGTTGTGAAGGTAATAAATGCGTATCCCCTGTTAAGGCCAGTCATCGGATCCATCATGAGACGCAGATCCCAAATATTCCCACACTTCTCAAAAAGCGGTATCAATTCATCCTCGTACATGTCCTTCGGGATCTTCCCACAAAACACCTACAAAACAAACACCAAAGTATGAAGCCCAATTCACAAAGCACATTATATTAATAATCACGTGTTAAACCTTGTTAAAGAAACCCTGTACTGGAAACGAAGTGTATTTCAAAAAACTGAAAATATACTCCACTACAGAGTGATATTTTCTGTTGTTTCTCTACTACTGCTGTAAGATTGTGTACATTTCGTTTTTACAAATGGTTTATTAAAAGTGCACTAGATGTCACAAGTCCAAAATGTCTACACTTAGTGCAGTCTAAGCATGTTTAGCGAACTAAAACATGAAAATATCAAAATCATTGCTAGAGAAAAGCACATCATACATGCCTATCAACTTCAATAATTCCCATAAGAAACCTTGGTTTGTATAAACAAAATTCCTTCAACAGTAGAATCTCGTTAACAGTGGCAACGAAACTGATGATAAACAAGAATCTGATCACAGAAGTGGTCACATCATACTCTAAACAAAACAAAAACAGCTCTAGCCATCAGTGGGTAGGATTGTGTGAAATGGCAAACAAAAATATGATTCCAGAATGAAATGCAATATCGATTAGGTTTTAAAATATAACTACTATAAAAAAACGGAGGTGCTGAAACAGAATTTAAATTCATCTACCTGGCTTTCAAAGCCTGCACATGCCAAACATAAATACTATTGTACTGAATTCAGTTTTTAGAGATGCAATATTGACATACCTCAGCTCCAAGCCATATTAGAAATATAGTTCTATCACACATTTTACTTACTTCTTGAACAGTAAATCATCTTCCAGCTTCCAAGATGCACAATAACTTTTAAATGCTGGTGCTGCACAAACATGTGGAATGGACAGGAAACAGGCAGATAAGCCAAGCCTAGTCAATGTCTTTAGTTTGATGACAGTACTGGCAATAATGATAAACATACCTCACAACCATTTCCAGGTGTTGGTCCATCCCAGCCTGGTGGTGGCCCTCCATACTTTCGCTGTCCTGTGGTCACATCCAACGTATAACCAGTTCGCTCCAAAATAGACTGAAATAATCACATGAAACAAAAGCATAACATAATTTCAGTGGACTGTTTAAATTTATGACAGTTTCTAGCTAACTGTTGATCCAGGGTTAATATTTCTTCTAGAGGACTTGTCCAATAACATTTCACAGAACTTCCAAGGAAAGTTCCTGAACAATGGTCCGGTACCAACGCACACACAGAACGCAAATTCTGTCATTGTCATGTAGTCTTCAAACGTAAACCAAACTCATAGCCATCACAATGTAGAACTGCCTACCACCTTGAGACTAATAATTATAAATACTGGTTTTATGCCACTGTTTTGTTGCCCTGACCAGAAAATGGAGATAAGTCATCCAAAACTGCAATGGCTTGCAACACAAGACAAAGATAATTCACATTCACCATAATTTTCAGTGTTTCTACATGGAAACAATGTACTGATGAGGGTGATACTAATTTGAAATGAGATCAGTGAAGATTGTTTTAAAAATCCAACAGCCACCAACAAAAAATATTAAAATGAAAGTGCACATGTGATGCCCATCTGGATACAAACTATGATTGTGATAATTACAAGTAAAAAAAGACCATTCATTTGAGTAATACCATGAGGCTGTAATAAACAAATGCATGTACTGGAACTTGGAAGTTACTGCAACTGCTTCTACCATGAGATGAGTAACATCAGCAGGTTTCATAGCAGCAGCATCGTCAGAGTTGAGCTACACATGATAATCACTTGTAAACTGATAAAATGTTTTTACTGGGTAACAAAAATATTGGCTGCAGTAGCAGTGCAATCTCTCTTCTTTGTTCAAAGTGATTGGCATGAAATGAAAACTAGCTTGGCAAAAGCAATTCAATCCTCAGTTTTACCCATCTATCATCCTAATCTCAATGTTAAAACCTCTTTATTTAATTTGCTAACTAGACACTGTGATCAAAAGGTCGGAGCAATTATCAAATACCTATTTGTCATTAAGACACTTGTTCTAGTGCTTCTGTCACTACTGGGAATGTTTCTGGAAGTCTTTTGGGATCACTGGAGGATGTGTCATGTGATGTTATTTACCAAACTTTTGTATCAAGCCTTGTAAATACAGAATTCTTAAAATGGAAGCTATACATTTTTTCCACATATACAAATAAAATCGGTGGCTGCACAAAATCAAAGACTAGTTGTTGGGGATTGCTGTACCAAGCCATCAACACTGCTGCATGAAAAAAATTACAATAGTAAAACTACACTACAATTAACGTAATCACAACAAATACAACACGACTGATTCAGAATCAGGAATTAAGGGGAATAGGTATCCAAAATTTATCAGAATTGATTAAATGATTTACAAGATGAAACATTCAAAACACCAAACTAGGTCACACCACAGCAATCAAGAGTGCATGTTAAACAATTTTTATGTAGTTTTAAGAGAAATGAAGTTCACTAGAATTTAAAACACATATAACATCATTGTCACTAACCATGACGCTTTAACAGACTCAGAACAATCTCATACACAACAGCATATTACGTACTTAATATTAAATTTACGTAACAAATCACCTTTATTTTATCCTCATCAGGGGCCTTCGCTACAGTACCAGAACCTGAACCTTGACCGGCCCTACTTTTTTGGCGATAGGTCTTCATGACTCCACAAAGATATGCAGATTTGTTAGAAACGTGCTCCAAGTTAGAGTCCAAGAATTGTGTGAGGACATTCAATGCTCCATCAACAGGGAACTCCTTTAGAGCATCCAGAGCACGCTCATCCAGATCAGCATGTGCAAGTTTGCCTATAACATATAAATACCAATAAAAACTGCAATTTACATGGTGACAATTCCATTATCAATATTCATGAAACAAATTAAACCACCTTTGCCTCACTTGACTGAAACTGCCTACACAACTGAAGCCAATTCAAAATAGCTGACTGGTGAGATCCTATCCTTCCCAAGGGACAATTATATATCTTGAGCAGAAGTATAAAATTATAGGTGTAGTGGCCTCAAAGCAGCATTCCAACCACATTACATAAATCAGTCATATAATAATGTCAGTATTTGTAATCTAAGAACCCTTAAATAATGGATAAGATCTCCATTTTGAACTCGAATTCTTTGTTTTAACCAAAAATCAGTCTTTAGCATAAATTAACAAAATGCCCACAATGATATGCTTGTAATGGAGGAATACTGGGGCAGGGCAAAATAAATCTCACAATCTACAATTTCAATACAATGGGACCACAAACAACTTTCATCTATAACTTTTTATTCAAAACTGTCAAAATGAACTGCTCCACAACAGTTCCTCAACATTCAAGATTTTGATCGAAGTTTTCAATGTGGTTCCCATGGGTGATGCAGCACACATCCCATCTGAATGCAATCTTGCCTCATACTTAGCATATCTTCATTGCCAGTCATTTACATCACACAGTCCCACTATGGTCACCCAACCTCAAGTTAAGTATTATGCGAATGTTCCTCCGTTGCCACAATCGTTATGCGGGCTGCAATGGTATGCTCCAAAATCAGTTATGCCCATGTTACTCGAACAATAACCCAGATATCACAGGCAAAACACATGGAAAGCATGTTTACCACCAAAAAGCAATAAAATTGAATATGTATTGATTGAATTTGGACATTGAATGCAACCCTTATTATTTAATTCATTTATTTCACCTTAAACATTTCCAGAAGTAAGTAACATGCATTCTTGAAAACATAAATTCTAAAATATTCCAAAAATGTGGATATGGGAAAGTGGCATTCAAGTAATGCCTGCCAAGTCAGTAAGGTAACATATAACCTTAGGACACAGAAAATATACCTGTCTTGTATATTTCATCAAGCTTCCCTGCTACCTTTTCATCCAGACCATACTCCACAAGTTTTGCATAGTCTTCTGTCCTATCTACTTTGGCTTCTTGCAACTCTTGTTTCGCACTTGGCTTTTCTTCCATCGAAACTTCTCCGTTTCCTTCTGCCATAGCTAAGAACAAAATGTTGGCTTGTTAACCAATATTCCAAAACGAGAAACACACTTCGACTCCCAAAACATCAATCAGACATTACAACTCTTAAAATTAATGTAAAACATTCACACTGCAGGCATATACTGAGACACTGTCCATAAAAATTTCAAAGACACATAATAACATCTCAACTCCACTTCCTGCATATTGCATAATAGATAATTCAAACATATTGTCTCCAGCAACATTATCACAAAATATTCAAAAACACCAAAGCAGGGAAGACTTGGTGAATTACTAAACCAATGTAACAAGCATGAGAAATTAACACTATAGCAAAATATCATACAAAAACATACTATACCACCTAATATGCAACCTTGCTATGAAGCATAATAAAATACAGCCTATCCCATACATTGCAGGAGCAAAATATAGATTGACACAACACAGGTGGTAATAGCAGATTGTTTCATTGATAACAGCAGCTCCAGTATGATCAGCTGTACCCAAGGTCACTTGTAAGACAACAATGACCCATTCCCACTGTTAAAATTGTTCCAATACCCTCATCCCAATGTTGCACCAAGAGTTCCAAAATGTATGCCTTCATTCACTTTAGAACATAAAAACCACTTAAAAAGCCAATATTTCTCTTATTTACACCAAAATCACACCATTTTGCCACTAATGCTAGCACCCAACCATTTTCTGGAATATATCTACCACTATATATAAGGTTATAAATGCCAATTTACCATCAATTCACAGCCACAGACCCAACAAATAATGTGTACCTTAAGCAGATTCAGTTTGCATATACTAAAACCAAGGATTTCCTTTGTAACATCAAATGACTAAAAATTATCCATGAGAACATTAATACTTCATGCCAGAAGTCCTGATTAATATATTATAACTGCATGTACAATTTTAGCTACCCATATACAAAGCATAAAGAACAATGTCACACAGAAGAAAATAATTACATAAGGAAAGATGGACAGGCTTGGTTGTTATATTCCTATGTTAAGCAGAAACATTAAAAGAACGAATCTGTAATGGCACTGTAGACAAAACTCAAGATGTACAAATGCCTACAATACAAACCATGCTTCAGATGTGAAATTGCTTGCCTACAAGCCAGGTAATAACATTATTTAGAACTTGAAGATTAAGGAAACATTCATGTAACATTTGTGAAATTTTAACAAATACAAAGGAATTTACTGATATAAGAACACATGTAGGCATATATATGAGCAATAAAAATACTGAAGCTCTTTACATAGCATGCATTCAGAGACATAGCTGGGCAAAAAATATAAACAAATAAACAACACAGCAATAACTGTTCTATTAGTCAAAATGTAATATAAAAATCAAACATACTCAAATTCAGAACATTACAATATATTTTTGGGCCATTCTTTCAACAAAGCAGATTTTCACCAACATATATATCGGCCCCATGTTCCCATACAACAAACATAGTTTAAAAGAATGCCACTCTTCCGAATGCAGGTGCACTGCAGTACTGAACCCACCCATCTACAGGTTGTCTTCCCCTTTGTAACACAATAATTTGGCAAAATGACAGGTGTGACAAGCAAATGTGTAAGATGGTACCAACATAACTAATTCATCTATTCAGGCATGTTACAACACTTTCACATTTTGCACTTCTTTAAAATGAAGTTAATAAGGGACATCCTACATGATTATACATTCATCTTCATGGCCCTACATTACGTAAATGTTGGGATATTTTGTGTTCATGCTTTTTATGTTCTTTATTCAGATTTCAATGACTTGTGTACTTCAAAACAGCATATAAAATTTCAGGTTATAATGGACAATGTACAGTCACTGTTCCTTTTGTTTTTTTATTATTAGTGTTCTGTCTGACGACAGGTCCATATATTATGAACAGGATCCTTCCATCCTCTTCAGGTTGTCAGGGACCTGCTCATACATATATACATTCTTGGCAGATGATCAGAAGTGGTTTGCCATTGCCTTCTGTGTGAGTGAGTGAGTGGAGTAATTGTTTGGATGCCACGGAGAAACCGGGGAAGCCCCCGGAGGAAAACTGTGATGCCTAGACCACGGCCTTGCCCAACATAGGTTATAAATCTGAGCACCACCGGGAACTGAACCCAGGACCCCAGGATTACAAGGCTAGTGTTCTGACCGCTAGACCACCGTGGCGGCTGTTCCTTTTGTACCAAACAGAAACCTTACTCCCTCAACAGCAGGTACAAAAAAAAGCAGAAAATTGGGAAGGAGAGTCACACAGTCAAGACTGACAAATTAAATGCAGTGCAGAGTTGAGTATGAGACAAGGCATTTCATACCCCACACCACCTTGAATTTGCTTATCTTGATCATGTGTCGCACGCCCTCTGATCACCAGCTTGCTTTCATACCTCCTGTTTACAGACTAGGTTAAGTATTTGTACTGAAACAGACAGGAACAAGATATCCATCATCATACCATGAAATTATGGGCACTATTCCAAAATAAATACAATAAACATGAAAAGAGGTACTTATATGCACAGACTGTTCCCATAGCCATTCAAACTGAAAAAATATGAAGAAACACAAACATAAAATGACCATTTATCTCACTGCATGCTGGAGGGATATGCCTCCTAGACAGCAGAAATTTTTCAGCATTTAAAGACAGCTGTCTTCTTGGTGGTGGCACCATGTAGCCTGATAGAAGTTTGCCAACATTTCAGAGCTTCTTGCTGCCTCCATTACCCAAGATGAATCACTCATCGCCCTGGTGATGGAGACAGCCATCTTTGGACTCACCATGAAAACCTCAAATCCTACTTTCACCATCTAGTTGTGAACCACTCTCTCCAGTTTTTTATTCCCGACACCAGGGTCAGAACCAATTCCAAACAGAGGTAATGGCAAATTCTTCACTAGGGTCTCAAAAACTGGATTAACTGTGAAAATTTGGTGCTGTATCTGTATGAGTATCTCTGAAGGAAACACTGCCTTTGTCTGAAATCCTTTTCCCACCCTCACTCAAGGCACTCATCTACCTACGAAGGTGAAATACCAATAGAAGTTTCAATAGTAAATAAAACTTAATGTTTGAACTCGTAATAATTAAAATGAATTGCAAAGACAGAAAACGGATGATCTACTATAACAAGCATTCTGCTGTCATGATTTCATCTGCAATACTGTATCACTGGAATTCTGTTATGTAGTGTCTTGTTAATTCAGAACATTTGTTGTTACAAATGGAAAAATTATAATAAACGTTAGTGGGCTCAACACTAAAATGTAACACCACCCCAATACATTTAAAAATGTGTTTACCATGTTGGGAAAACAAAATTCAAGTAACGTGTATTTCACTGTACCTTCAAATATACCGCAATCTGCCAGTTAGGATACCTATACAATAAATTTTAGATCTCCCTCAACAAAAGGGTAGAGTACAACACTTAAAAACATCTACGATAACTCATTCTCAAACTCAAAATAATTTTGGTGTCCCTGCACCAAGCATCTGAACAACATTACGAATACAACAAGACTTAACATTTGTGTGATATATGCTGGAAAACTCTCACAGCACAATTGAAGCACTACCATTAGTACTGACTATAAGAAGCAAATTGAAAGGGCCCACACTTCAGAAAATTAACACAACAGCGTTTACCCCCAGCTCAAACCATTTAATATTCTAATAAGGTGCTAGCAGTCCAGTTTTTTCAGGTTTTAATTTAATTAATTTTAGCATCGAAGATGAGACAAGATCCTTTTATAAATTCAACACTCTTCAGCATAACAAGTCACCACACTGCCCTTCTTTATATCATGAAATTTAACATTCTTATAATTGTACGCAGCACGTGCAATTAATGCAGGGAATGTAAAACACAGCTCACCTCTTTCGAACTGATTTGAGGCTTAATTACAACCACAGACCCAACATCATTGCACAGGGAACTTCATATCATAACCCACAAAAACCAATTAAAAGTTGCAGACTGGACCAGACAAGCACCCACACCAAGGAAACTGACATAATAAGTTAAATCTAACAGCATACCCACAGAATTTGTTAGAAATGAAATTCCACGAATTTTTAATGCGTAGTGCCCACACAAAAAAATTAAGAACGCTTATATACAAAACCCGATTCGTTACCTTTGGCTTATAATACACAACCCCGTAACCAACCATATGAATAGGTAAGCGAACTACACACTATCTCGTTTAAAACATAAAATTCACACAGAAACCAATACAAATGGTCATTCTGATTATATCTGAAATGAATCACCATAAAGAAAACAATCTTCCATCGCGCAATGTAAACATCACAAACGCGCCAAGACCTCCATTAATAATACACTACCTTACGATTATGACGCCAGTATAACTAACCAAATATTCCAACATAATAATGAAGTGTACTAATGGGCCAATATATTATAAACCGAATAACACAAACCCCAACACCTGCGTTGAAGCTCCTGTTACAAACCAATGCTCAACTCTCCAACTATCTCACCGGCCGGCAAAGCAAAGAAGCATACAGTAAGATGCTTACGGGAATAATTCCAATTTAATCTTTAAAAACCACTTAAACATTGTAACACTACAACTCACACAACTCCTGAACCAATCAGGGTTATTTATTTCACTCGACAGCCGCTATTTACCACCAAATATTACTCAAAAGAACCGAACATTTACCTTTAAAATTTAGTACACAGGGTACTCCAAGTGTGAAATGGCGGCAGACAACGTCAACGTGATCGCGTTTGTACGGGGCCGACAGAACGACGCGCAAGGAAATTCTCAAACCCAGCGTTCCTGTGAGGAAACGTGTAGTTCCCATTTGAAGATCAACGAATATGATTGGACGTTTGTAAAAATGGCGTTACGTTTATAAAACCAGCATTACCCCTCGAACATACATTCTAGTTATTAAAAATACGTTACTGATGCGTATCATGAATGATTTTAGATGCTTCGTTTCAATTAAATTGAACGGTTTAATATTAGTATTATGCATATGTGTGTCAACCAGATATATGTACTGAGAAAAATAACAAAATCAAATCCCCCATAGGGAATTGAATGAAATAAAACAACGTAGAAAGGTGTCCGAACTATCGGACTTTGGTAATTGATGTATTCATAATTATATATCTGAAAAATGTTGAAGTCAGAATCGATTTGGGTGGTAACTGGGCGTGGCAACAGAATTAAATTCCTTGAGCGGGAAATAAAATTGAAAAATGGCGCGTAGAGGCTATCTCTCTACACATGAATAATTTTCAGTTCTCAGACATTTTGCAAACAAGAAAAAATCTCTATTCAAGCCCGTGCATTATCTATGTAGGGATCAACGAAGAGAAGGGTCATAAGGACAACTACATGCAAGTTGCAGTAACTATAGTTCATGGAGGTCTTAAACCTAATGCCAGTACAAGGCAATGAAAGAGCATTCGAACTGCCACCACCATAAATCCATCACGGATCACTTGCCACCTGTGCTAACGGATGGATATAAGTACGGGATACTTTGATTTCTGTCATTATAAATAAGCATTACAAGGAAATGACATAATATGTATTTCTCACAGGACTTATAATACTCTAAGTTTAAATTAAAAAGATGTATTGAAATGCTTTATAAGTATATACTTATATAATGTACTACCAGAAGAATTTCCATTAATATTTTTCTCCTTTGTACACGTTAATAGTAATACTTGTGTCACATGGTAATCTCGGTAGTATGCCTGTTAAGATTTCATGGTAGTGAAACTCGCTAACACAGACCACACCAACGATACTTAAACACCCACTCCGCTGGCACAGCAAGGTGCTGTACGTTGATTAATCTATGTTGGCAGCTTTAGTAATCAGTGGCTAGGAGGTATTTGTTCTTGTGTTCGTGGTAGTTGTGTTGATGGTGGTGTTCAGTAGAGTGCAAATTGTAAGATTCATTAATTTGATGACAGGGATGTTAAATTCGTGTACTTAATTTTGTACACGTTTCATGTAGAAAACTGGGAAGACATGGCTTCTCTGTTGTACATCTGCAGTGCTTTGTGTGCAATGAGCATGGGCGTGTATGGGCAGTATGAATGGCAAGCTCGTGATGCTTTTGACGAAGTCCGATTAAGGATGGATAAAGTTAATGCAGATAATTGTCCAATTCAACACTTGAGTGATCTCTATTTACCGGAGGATGCAGTGTCTCACTTACCAGACATAAAGGAAATCAACATTAATCCTGTATTTCCAAACCGAACGGCCCTTTTGCATCTACATAATATGGCTATGAGTCGATCGTTTTTCTGGAGTTATATATTACAGGCACGCTTTATTAGACCAGCAATAAATGATACCTATGATCCGGGAATGATGTATTATTTTCTTTCAACTGTGGCTGATGTTTCTGCAAACCCGTACATAAATGCTAGTGCAATTTACTTTGCACCCAACTCTTCCTATACACCGTCTTATCGAGGATTTTTTAACAAGACGATGCCTAGATTTGCACCAAGAACATTCAGGTAGGTATTTACAAAACATACTTATAAATCAATGTATCTTCTGGCACATAATTTTAAACATGGTTATCAGGAGCTTTATTTAAAGATGAAATGTAAATGTGATGTCCTAAACTCATTTGTGGAACCAGTGTTTTCAGCGTCTGCAGTCAGTGTGTTTATTACAGCTAACTAAAATGTTTGATTGACCATGATTTTAATTCATGCCTGTCAAAATTCTGTATGGATAATAAGAACATTGCTTCCAGATATTTTCTATTATTTCATACCCATTGACTGGATCAAGTGGCTTGTAACCTGAGAGTCTTTCATTAAAGTAAGTTCTAATTACTATTGTTACTGTCCAAATATCCAATGTATTAATTTATTTCCTTTCAGGGCTGATGACTTTAATGATCCAATACATCTTGAACGAATCTCTACATTAAATACATTTACTGTAAGAGATCTGGGAGCAATTCGAAATGATAGTCTTAGTACAGACTATGCATCAGAGTTTTATAGGATAAATGAATGGTAAGACAGCACACATCACATTTAGATATGCCCTAGGTGACTGTTCTGGTTCCTCTCTCTCTCTTTTTTTGACATTAAATATATAAATATTTGTTTATGGTGATACCCTTCATGGTTGTGACCTACCCAAGATCCTGCTGTGCACTCATCACCTTACAAACATTGCAGCAGGTTGTTAGCACTCCTGCTCTATCTTTCGGAGGTCCCAGGTTTAAATCTTGGGGTGGAGACCAGCTATCCTGACAGGTTTTTTGTGGTTTACATCAGTCCTTCCCAGGCATATATCAGAGTAGTATCTTGAAGTAATTCACTGCCAGTTCTATATCCTTTCCAATTCATTGTTTATTAATCAACCTATGTCGCTGCCATACAGTCTAACATACTGACAGCATCATTACAATAACTGCAAATGAAACCTATAAAAAAGTAAAGTTGTCTTGCTGTATGTCATGTAGGTGCTGAGGGGGGAGAGACTGTATAGCTCCTACTAATTCATAACCTTGGCAGTAGATGGGGGTGAATGGTCAGCATTATGCCCCAGCCACATTTTACCCCCTGGGAAGGGACCCTATTACCCATTGGGCAGGAGGCTGGGTGTATAATTTTTAAAATTGTCTGCTATATTAAGGATTTATCTCTTCTGGATACTCTGGTGGATAGACACAAGAATTAACAAAATGTTACTGAATGGGATTTGCAGTGGCCAGTATTACAAATCGTTTAACCATTTTACAGGTACAAAAAATGGTTACCTGATAACGTAGTAGGAAGACATGATACCAAAACTACATACCAAGTGGAGATCCGTTATGCTAACAATACTAATGAAACTTTTACTTTCCATGGACCTCCAGGTGAGGAAAGCATATTCTTAATGTAAGATTTGAGGTTTTCACAGCGGTGAGTATGAAGATTTCTGTCTTCTGGGTTGTTGCGCTGTGTAGTCTGGCCGATGTTAACCAACGTTTCAGAATACACAGCGCAACAACCCAGAAGACAGAAATCTTCATATTCTTAATGTTTTTGCAGTACATTTACATATTTACCTTTGATAAACATTATTAAATGCTTCACATTTACCAGGTGCTGATGAATTTCCTGGTCCTGTGAAGTGGACACGACCATATTTTGACTGCGGCCGGGCCAATAAGTGGTTGGTTGGAGCTGTTGTTCCTATTTCTGACATCTATCCTCGTCATACAGGCTTTAGACACGTTGAATATCCTACGTACGTATTTATGTGCAACTACTAGAATAATTAGATATGTAGTCATGCTGCGTTGTAATTAGTATAACAATTTTATCAGTTTGTTCCTCTGAGAGAAAAGTCTGCTTTTGTTTTTCAGATACACTGCTGTTGCAGTATTGGAAATGGATTTTGATCGAATAGATATTAATCAGTGTCCTAAAGGGCAAGGCAACAGTGGTCCAAACCATTATGCTGATACAGCTAGATGTAAAAAAGAAACAACTGAGGTAAACATTGTTTTGAAGTAGATTTTGTGTAGCATTTGTAACCTAGTTGAAGTTGCTTGTATGTACTTGAAATGAGTGTGATCAGACTTTGTAATTCTATGCAGGTGCAGAATCTTTTCTAGTACAAGTATTCTTATCTTATATACATTTATTTTTAGCCCTACTTCCACCATGAGACTGTTTGTGCAGTGGTTGTATAAATGTTTTGCCTGTAATCTGACTTGGATCTCTACTTTTCTTTCTTCTTCTTCCCTCCGAACACAGTGGTTTATAAACTAGGATTTGTGTATTTACATTTCTGCTTGAATTACCAGCCGTGTCAAGAAACAAATGACTAAAAGTGGTTGGTGCAGGTAGGACAGCAGTGGTAGTTGCTCAAGTACCCCTTTTTTTCTAGTGGAAATAATAAGTCAATGTAATAATTTATTATGCATATTCTATTTTCAGTGTGAGCCCATCCATGGATGGGGATTTAGACGTGGTGGGTATCAGTGTCGTTGTAAGCCTGGTTTCCGTTTGCCAACAATTGTCCGGCGCCCATTTCTTGGAGAGATTGTTGAAAGAGCAACAGCAGAGCAGTATTACAATGATTTTGACTGTGAGAAGATTGGCTGTAAGTATTATTGAGTGAGAGAATGTGAATTATGAATAGAAAGGATATGGAAGGAAGCAGCCATACCCTAATTTAACTCTCATGTTGAGTTCAGATTTTTTACCTTAAACTTACATTAATTTAGGAAAGCTATGAAAAAATATTACACAGAAATGGGTTAACTGATATTAACTAAAGTCTGTGTGCAATCAGGTAATAACACCCCAGTTGATCATTGGGTGCATAAACACTGTATCAGAACCAGGGGTAATGGTCCCCCTTGGTCAGCCTCATGTTGTAGCAGGAGCCTGTCAGTTTATGAACATATTTCTGTCTCAGGCATCATTCTCTTTGGTTTAGTTAGTGGTAGCAGAGATATTGGATATATGCAATCATATGTGATGGGCATAAAATACAATATGTTTATTTTATTGAAACCAAAGTCTTTGTCTCAGACCTGACAGATTTGCAGGTTTTGAATGATGTGGTAAGACTTTCCGTTTCAGTCCTGTTGTATGGTTTTTATGTTCATAAATAGACAAACAAATTGTAAAGGGATGCACTGGAGAGGTCATCTGAATATCATGATTTCTACTTGTTTTGTTTTGGTCAGCTGCTCTTGTGTTGGACATGACATTTTGTCTTGCAGGGGTACATAAAATGCCTGTACAGTGGGAAACTGCAAGTCATCATGTGAGAGAGATGTACTTGGAAAGGTTCTATGAATATCGTAATTTTTCTGTGGGTGCTCGTTCTCTGCACACAAGTAAAATGAACATTGATCAAGCACTTAAGTTTATACTTGGTGTGAATGAAAGAACATGCAAACAGTGAGTATTTTTTCACAGTTTATTAAAAAGTTAATTATTTGTGTCATTTGTGACACTTTGTTCATGCATGTAAAATGAACATTGACCAAGAAGATACGTTTATATTTTGTGCTAGTTATGTACAGTGTATGACATAATTTTTATTTTCTGTCATTCAGTGTCCTATTATAATGTATTTTCATCCCAACAAACGTAGTGTGGCAAAATGGAATTTTTACCCACAGTACACATCCCATATCCAGAGATTTTTCTTCACTGTCCCCCACTTTTGCTGTCGTGATGTTAGTAATTTATTTTCTATGATAAATTCCAGTAAATGTCATTGTTCTTCTCAAGATAAATATCACCAACAGGTTTAGTGAGAGATCTATTTTGTTTAATTCATTACTACAGAGTTCAGTTGCATATAAGAGCATATTTTATATAAATTTGGCAGTTATTAGCCATTTTTGTAATGTACTATACTTGTCTTATAAGGTAAAGATACTATTTCATTTAGTAAAGCGACTAAGGCACAGACTGGACAACCATTGTTCATTTCTTGATGTCAGTAAGAACTTTTCTCTTTGACACTGCATTCAGTCTAGCTCTGAAGCCAACCTAGTTTATTATACAATGTGCATCATTCTCTTTTTCGAGTCAGATCATGAAACCTGATCACTGAATTCTCCAGCCAAGAAAGAAAGTTTAACTCCTAATTATTTGTTTCATTCCATTCCTTTGTTCTGTTGTTCCTGTTTACTGACATTGTAGTAAACATATGAAGGAACAGATTTGCAGTTACAGCAAAGCATGTTAATATGGCAGCTGTACTCTGATTAATTTAATCTCATATCAGGATATTCCTAATGAAGAAAATATTGCAGTCAGACTTGTAAACTTCATTAGTGATGTTTAAACACCTGAAGGAATGCATATCCTCTTACTTCAAACCATTTTGTTAATATTGCAGATATACTCCACAGGATTTGATCCTACATGGGGATATTGCTTATGGAGCTGATGAACAGTTTACTAATGAAGCAAAGATGGCAGTCAGACTTGCTAACTTTATTAGTGCTTTTCTTCAGGTGAGTAAACACAAAGAAGTAGTGAATATTTAATTCATTGTGTGGTATGTGTATCAGCTGCATGTAAAATTTGATGATGCTGTTGTAGATCTCGGACCCAAAAGAAGTTTATTCTGGCAAACGTGTGGCTGACAGGCCATTATCGGAAGATCAAATGATTGGAGAAACACTGGCACTTGTAATGGGTGATACAAAAATATGGTCTGCTGGAACTTTCTGGGAACGTAGCAAATTTACAAACAGAACTTTCTTTGCCCCATTTGCATACAAAAAGGAGCTTAATACCAGAAAGTTCAAAGTTGAGGACCTTGCAAGATTAAACAAAACACGTGAGTAAAATTTTTTTTACATACGTGTGCACAGGATGTAGTTAATTGTTTCTGTAAAAGTCTAGTCAAGTGTAAATATTATTTCCTTTCTTAATCTGTTTCATTTTAATCAGGTGGGTCAGTCAAAAAAGCATCCATTTTTCTCTGTGATTAATTTCTGGCCTTCATTTCTGTTTATGAACTTGCATCAGAAAATTGTGAAACATACTTCTTTGTTGTTGAACATATGCATAAAATATTCTAATTACATTTTATTTTCAGATGAAATATATACCAATAAGCCATGGTTCCAGTTTCTGAAACAAAGATGGTCAACAAACTTTGATGCCCTTGAAAAATTCTACATGAAAGTAAAAATTCGTTTTAATGAGACTGGGGAATCTTTGAAAAAATATGAACATTATCCTAACTTCTACAGGTAAGGTACTGAAATGCAGTTTAGTGTTTAAGAACTGAATGGATATGTACATTAGCAGAATTCTGTGTTTATCAGATTTTTTAGAACAGCCATTGTAATTACTGTCTTGTATATCAGTAAACTTAGTGTACACTGTTTGACATTTTATAATCTGTTGCTATAGCTGAGTTGTTGAAATTTCATGAAAGCTCTGAATATGCCCCGCCAAAGCGGGACAAATGCTAAGAGTAAGAAGAAGAAGCTGAATATATCTAGTGATCCTTCATAGACAGATTAATATGCCATTCACACTTATGATACATTTTACATATCATGGAACATTCATGTTTATGAATTTATACTGCTTAGCTATTCAGATTTACATTTATAATTCCTTGTACTTGTTTTTAGAGCTGCTAATTTGGATCATGGACATTGGACAGCTCCTTACTTTGATTGCGATGGGAAAGTCAAACACTGGGTTATTACATATGCATCTCCATTTTTTGGCTGGGACAGTTTAAAAGTTAAACTGGAATTCAAGTAAGTATTTTTTCTTTATTTATTTTAATACCAATGTTAGGTGCTGAGAAAGCACAAGCTTTGTTACTTATTATTTGGATATGTGAACACAGATATTCATAAATTGTAACTGACTGTACTCTGCCAAAAATAATATAATGGTCATCCTGGGGAAGTGCATACTGTATTCAGTTTTAAAATTTTAGTTTTTAAAGTTGAATAAAATATGCTCTGTTACTGTGAGGGTTGTTCAGTAAGTAACATCTGAGTGTTACTCTTATATTTGTTACTTTGACATAGGTGGCCACACCAATTATTAATGAACATAATCCAATGAGTGATAGAGAAAAATGTACTATTTCTTTTACTTGCAAAAACTAATGTTTGCTGACCATGATGGTAGTTGATTCTGCCACATGAAAACCAATATTTGTTATAAAATGAAGAGAAATTTAGTGTGAGTGAATTTGTTTATATTGCCAGGTATTATGTTCTCACTCAGTTCAATTTTAAGGGCCACTTTTCACAGTCTGCTGCAGATGACATTTTACTGCATTCACTTTCACATTGCATGTTCATAGATGCCCTGCATTTTTGTTACAGGGGCATTGTTGCTGTTACCATGAGATTACTTGAGTTGGATGTTAACCAGTGTCCTGATAAATTCTATGTACCAAATGCTTTCAAAGATACACATAAGTGTGACAAGAAAACATCATATGTAAGCATCATAATTTCTGTTGTATCTTTCTTTATAATGCAGTTACACATGAGTGATAAAATTGTGTAAAAGATATTCCAACACTTAAAGTCTTCCACCTTGTCACCTGAACTCATCTTGTGCCCCCAAAAAAGATACATAGGATTTAATAAATTATGATTGTCTTCCTTCCTTTTTATCCAGAATAATGTAAATTTTTAGGTAGAGGTTTCTTATCTACCTCTGTCACAAATTATGTAAAATACCACATTACCCTTAATTCTTTATTTGTTTAAATGCATAAATGTTTGACTAAAGATTACATGAAAGGGGAGTGGTGTACTGCTTTTCATGTGAGCTCAGTGGTTAGCTTTTTTGTGATTTTATTACAAAAACACTGGAAACAGTCACAGTATAATAAATATTTTTATGTGCACATATTTAAATAGTCAAACAAAATATGATTAAGTAAATCCCATTTAATTGTGAATATATATGTAAATAATGGTTGGTATAAAATACATTAATATCTCCAGAATAGTTATGTTTAATACTGATGATAATCCATTTATTCATTTCTTTCACTGATTTTCTTGAATTCTTTTTCAGAATGAAATTCTATAATCGAGAGAAATGTAATAAATGAATGAGGTAAATCAGTACTGAAGGCAGGCCATGGCATGGTAATTTTTAGTCTAAGCTCTTACAAGGCTTACCTGACCAAACTTCAATTTATGTTTCAGTGTGTTCCAATCCTTGGACGTGGTTTTGAAACTGGAGGTTATAAATGTGAATGTCTGCAGGGTTATGAATATCCATTTGAAGATCTTATTACATACTTTGATGGACAACTAGTAGAAGCTGAATTCAGTAACATTGTTGCAAATAATCCAACAAGGTAATATTTATTTTTATTTCTATGAAGATTTTGTCACATTTTTTATTATACTTGCTGTAAAACTATTATGGTACTTAATAAGATATTTTTTATACATTAACTCTGATTTCAGAGTCTCAGCACAAAGTTTTCATTAATCTTAAACATACACCATTTACATCTGACATGGAAAACTTTATCTCACTTGACATAGTGACGTTTGATCAGCAATGTGCTGCACAAGTGCTATATCGAAAATATTTTCGAATAAACTCACGACATCTAGTTCAGCAGTGTCGAACTGGGGACCACATACATTACAAAATGCTTCTCGTGAAGCAGGAAATGAGTCTATATTTTCCCACAAAAACTTGTTGGAAACCACACCTGCCTGTACGATGTCGTCCTGTCGATCGCCACTACCATTATCACAATCACTATCGCTAAACACGACAGTTCCCGGTGTCACAAACTGTGTGTAATCAATGTCAAATACACTATCATCGTCCGAACTATATTCACTTATACTATCATCTTCTAAAACTTCATTTAAAACTTGTATTTGGTCTAGCTCCGTCAGAGGACAACTAGTCGAAGGGAGAGAGCCCTTGTAAACTACCAGGTCAGGCGTTTATTTTTAGACTGTCCCTTGCAGGTCATTGCAATATCCCACTGTTGCCACATATATACACATAGAGCTTTATTTCCACAACAGGCGAGAACAAACCTCATCGCGCTGGCGTTATTTATTCCATACTTATGGGCGTTTTAAATTAGGCTTTGAGGCTCGCGTGTTTATACGTAAATCCACAAGAACTTTAATTTAAATGCCCGCGTGTGTACACGTAAAACCACGTCTGAGGGTTAATAGAATTAAGTGATAATCATGATTTTGTTTAGTGGTGCTATGACTTATCTAAATGGTATATTGGACAGTCTTGAAGATCTGAACAGGTGCAGTTCCTGATCAAGTTTTCAAATTATCATATATATATATATATAATTTAATTTTTATTTTTTTAAAGAATACTAGACGATAGATAAGTCTAAAAACTTAGTAACATAGGTTGAACCCCCAGTCATCTAATCTGTTGTCAGGCATTATGCTACTGAGCTCTCCAGCTCACATCTGTTTTCTTCATACTCAGAAAATTTCACTGCACCCTGTGACCATCTAGAGGAATTGACAAACTTGCAAGATTGATATTTTGAACATGATTACTGTATTCTCATTAGACAGGCAGATAAAAGTTGTCTCTCTTCAGATACACAGATAATTAAATAATACTGCATGATTTTGAATTTGATTAGTTTATTGTCATAAGACCAGAACATATGTAAGTAAATACAGTTTATGGAAACAAATTTTTTTCAATTATACTTTTCAGTCATTTTTCATACACTGAGGAAGAATCTTGATAATACAAGTACAGGTTGAAATGTTATTGACAAGGTAAAACACCATATGTGCAGTTATTTGTTGGGTTCACTTGTTAAGTTTCCTGATTACTATAAATTGCTAGCATTCCTCAGTCATGATACTTTTTAATTATCTTTTATGTTGACTGGGAAAGTACTGGACCAAAACAAAAATGCTGTCAAAACATGTAGAGTTTTATTTATTATGTGCCTTGGTTGTTTAAACACACAGATACACCTCAAGCATAGAACTGTGTAACACACCAAGAAACCACAAAGAAAATAAAAATCTAAAATTTTATGACCCATTTTAATCTAAATTGTCATCTTCAGATACTACTAATGGACTGTTTCAGAGTAGTCTATCATTAATTACAAGTAATTCAAATTATTATATGATAATATTTCTAAAAAAAATGCATTACATTAAGTGGAGTAAATGATACCATGTGAATATGGTTATATAGTGAGTTAACTTACCACATTTTCTGGCATGATCACTTCATAATGATTTCTTTAATTTGTCTTTACTGTATCAAGTAATCAAGTCTTTTCTTTTTAGATATGATATGTTCAGCTGCCGCCTGGCTGGGGCTTCCAGTATCCATGGAAGCTTTGTTGTTCTCTTGATGGTGTTTTTAATTGTCAAATTACTGCTTCGGTAAATATCTAAAAGATATAAGACCAGAAAAAAAACACTTTTAACAAAGGTAAACTGACAGCATTTTGTGGTTGCTGAATTTCACATACCTGTGTGACTCATCCCATTTCAGAGACATTTCAAGTGGGTGATGTCATTGACACTTGCACAAACACTTTAACATAAATCATAGACATTTTAGTAAATATTTGTATACAATGTTCAAATGGAGATGTCTGTCTTGAGTAGAATACTTTTCTGGAATAAGTGACATTTCATCAATTGGTATTATAGGAAGACAGTCACAATTCTGTCTGGCACATAATATGATGTATTAATGTGCAAGTACATAACAGTATATTTCTGTAACATTTTATACAATGCGTTTTCTAATGTAATCCACTTAAAATACTCGTGTGTTAGTGAGACAAATACTAATATGACAACAAAGTTTTGAACGCGGATCAATTGTAAAACTTATTTGTATCCATTGTGAGCCATTATAGCTGTCAGAATAGTGACTGGCTACTGACTGGATGACCAGGGTTCATCCCCAATGGGAGCAGAGGAATTTTCCTCTAGCCTCTGCATCCAAACCAGTTCTGGGGCCCACCCAGCCTCCTCTCCAATGGGTACCGGGGTCCTTTCTCAGGGTTAAGGTGCGACTGGGGCGTGATGCTGACCTCTCACACCCATCTAGTGCCGAGGTCAAGAAACTATGATTGTTTCTCTACAAATATTCCGTTATTTTAATTGTTTATTCTTTGAAGCTAGCTGTACCATTGCTTGAAACCTGAGGTATGTTGCTGGTCAAATGTACTGGTCGTTACAGGCTCCCAACTGTTGATTCTTAGTTCTAATAAATACAGAAGTGGTCAAGGATCTTATAGCTAACTAAATAATACAGCCTGTTATTTCAATTCTTAGAATTATCTGCATTGAGAAACAGTTTATATATTATTCAAGCAGTTATATGAATGGCTGTGAATCAAAAATGAAAAGTAGCCTAACCAATAAAGACTCACTTTGGGTTTGTGCCATTTTGGTACTGACAACCTCATTTCAAGCCAAAGATGTAGTACATTTCAGAATAGCTTCATATGTCAGTCTAAATAGACGTGTACTGTTGCCTTGTGGACAGAGGCCCTGTGTGGGATAACTATTTATGTAGCACTTAAGAAGAATATTCAATTAAACTAAACAAACATTCCATATTCTGTTTGAAAAAGCACAAAAAAAGTGTACCTGATATCAAACCAAGAAAGTCGGCTCAGATGGTAACACTTCTATCTTGTATTTGGAATATGCTTCTTTCAAATCTTGACTGTGTCACTATCTGTCTAGACTGAGGATTTTCATGGATTTCTTATCCAGTCCTTTAAAGTTCACTACCAAAAGGGTAGATACAAACTATATATGGATAATTTATTCTCCTTTCCTGATTTATTTTGCAATTTACACATTGGAATATAAATTATTGTGGTCCTGTCAAAAATAAGTGAACAGGGATGCTACAGGATCTTTGTGGAAAGAATCTGACTGAAACAGGATGACATTCCGACAAGTTTGAGGGGTAATTTGGTGGCCATGTTTGAAATGTAATTTGTGGCAGTGTATTGAGCCACCCTTCACACATTTACATTTAAGATAATTCAAGACTCTTTACTGCAGAAAATGGTTTAAACCACCATAAATAATGGAATTGCTTCTGTTGTTTTATTTTATTACTTTATTTAAAATTAACTACATGTCTTCCTAATTAGTGTGATTGGGGGTTGTCTAGTATATGAATGAGACTGCAAGAATAGCAGCAAAGTGTTGTATTTTGTGATAGACAGAACAGATTGTGACATATGTCATGCTTCATCTTCCAGGAAAACTATTCTTGCAGTGCTCATTACCATCACCATAGAATATATACAGTATACTAACTGTCTTTGAAAATAATATTTTCAAAAATGAGTTAGATTTGTGATAGACTAATATTTACAGTGGAGTGAATTGAGTTATCACAAAGACCAAAAAATTCATTTCTAATCTTAAACATCACATTGCTGTTCCCCACTTCTGATGAAAATGGTAGGAGTGTGCTTGTTACCTTTGCCAGTGTTAACACACTATGTGTCATGAAAACTGGTAGTGTTTTCTGCATTTAAGCAAAGAATTTGCTTTGTGGGGGTTGAACAGTTCACATTGAATTATGTTAACAGCAGGTGTTTGAATGTTTAGCTTTCTGAAAGCTAGACATTTTAAAAATTGTTGGTTATTCATTTTGGAGATCTTGCAGTTAATTATTGCTGTTTATGTTACGGACAAAAAATATTCCTGTCATTATTTGTTTATTCAAGATTGCAATTTATTCATGTGTTAGATTTGTTAACCTCAGCAATATAGTTTCGTGGATATGCAGAATAAGGTCCATTTGAATAAAAATTCCTTGGATATTATCCATCGTCTAGTAAATATAAAACGTAAAACGACGTTTCGGAGATGGGACTCTATCTCCGTCTTCAGGTTCCTACACAGCTCTATCTAGTGGGCCCAACTGTGTAGGAACCTGAAGACGGAGATAGAGTCCCATCTCCGAAACGTCGTTTTACGTTTTATATTTACTAGACGATGGATAATATCCAAGGAAATTTTTATTCAAATGACTCTTCACCATCGTTAAGAAGTTTTAGATTAGAATAAGGTCCAGTTTGGAACATTTATTTTCTACTCCAAAAAAGAGCTATATTATGATTTAGTAAGAACCACAATGTAACATGATGAAGTAAATACTCACATTAAAAAAATCTAAAACTTGGGTAGGAGTTTTTGTTTACACTGTGATGAGTCCATAGATGGCTGTCTTCTAATCTAAAATATAATTATCATGTAAAAATAGAAATATAATCACAGTAAAATTGGGAATTGTATGGATGCCTTAATATTCTCCAAGTGTCGCATGTTAACACTTTCTACTGAATCATTATGTTTATGTAATGGAAACACATATTTGATAAGCCATGATAATTGTGTACAACCTCATTTTTCATGTTCATATGGGAACAAATTTTGCCTGTGAATATTCAGTAATTGTAGTTAACTTGATGCATTAAAAATGTTACTTTATACAAAGAAAATTGCTGACACTTTATTAATTTTAAGATTTTTCTTGGTTATTCATGTGATGCACAAAAATAAGTTTACATTTGGTAGTAATTACAGCATTATTTAAGTATAGTATGAATTTATAATTTTAAAATATTTTTAATGAAAAGTGCATTGAAAGACAGGTGTAATGAGTTTACTTGTATCCGTCCAAGATGGTGAATTGTGACTGTATAGCAGACATTTAGAGAGTTTAGATTTTATATAACAATTACAATGTTTATTTTTTTTATTCACAGTGTATATCTAAAGTATGTTGGTTCATTTAATTTTTTATGCTAATTTTGTATTTAGATAGTAGATTGCTTTGATTGAAATGAAAGCATCTGTAAGTATTATAGTTATGTTGATCTGCAGAATTAATGTAACCATATATACTGTAGTACCTAATCATATTGGTACCATCTAAAAGTAGGGCACAGTTTTGGAAGACCAGATGAAGTTGAAGTTTGTTCAAGTTTAACTAAAGTGTATGCTTTAGTAAACAAAATAGGCCTGTTGTAATTTGTATATTGTGTACTCAAAACATTGTAGACATTTATTATCATATCTTAATTTCTGTATGACCTTAATATGATATTATTGTTTATAAACTTCTCATAGTTATGTATGTTGTAATTTTCTTAATTTTGAACTACTGATGTGTTGTTTATGTCAGTTCGTTTTTATGTATATGTTATTGAATTTAGACTTAGAAATGAGTTACTAAGAATACTTATCGAGTATTACTATATCTACTCCCTGTGAATGTTACACAGTCCATAAAAATTCTAACAAAGTGGTGAAAATGTAGCATGGACATTTGTAATTTACTGTGTAACCAATATATTTAAAAGTATTTAGTACATTAGACTCTTGATAATTTGCATTGGTTTGGAACAAAATTTCACATTTTATGCTCATATTACCATGTTAAACTCTGAGCACTAGACATTAAGCTGTCAGCAAACTGCTGCATACACCACCCAAGTTTTCTGCGCAGCCAAAACTCATCAGCCTTCTCTAAATATTTGTGTTATACAATCAACTATAACTGCTAGTGGATTTTTTAATAGAAAGATTTTTCTACTTTTTATTTTGATGCAAATGTAGATGATTTAGTGAAAATAAAACATTTCCGATTATGGCATAACACAATGTCTAGTCTCCTTGGATAACAAGTGTTTAGAGGCCAAATATATGACCAGTTAAAAAAAGTCATTTGTAGAAGTTTTCAGCTGAGGTATAAACCTATTTTCAGCCAAACTCTGTACATGTGATATGGGACAGAGATGAGCTCTATCAAAGAACAGTAAGTCTGACTCTCCTGACTGTTGAAGCAGATCCTGGCTTTTGAATTTGTTAAGAAGTGAGGTGACTGAAAACGTTCGGAATATGTGCAGGTTTAATAACTTACTCTTATCACAAACATTTAGATTGATATTAAACAAATCACTTAAAACTGATAAGGTATGACTGTATAATTTCAAGTTATTAAACACAATCTTCACAAACTGAAAAATTGTACTACAGTTTGCAGTGTTGCAGATGAAGGATTATAATTTCTGTCACATGTAACACTTGTACAGAATCTTTCTGCTGAGGCCTGAAGGTGAGCAATATTCCCTGCCCCCACAATAGCACTCTGTGAAGAATGTACTCAAAAATTACATGCATCATTTCACCATCAGTTCTACATGTAAATAACACTATCAATCAAGTCAATGGTATTCTAGTAATTGTGAGGTTATGCAAGGTCAAATATGATGATTAAGGATGGTGAACCAGGAAAGATTATAAGGAAGCAGCCATGCCTGTTACTCCATATCTACAATTTCTTTATCCATTCCACTTTTAAAGTACTGATTAATGATGGATAGTGAGGGTCCACACTACATTTGCCAGCCCCAGGTAGCATCATGGCCTATGACAGAATGTAATATGCTGTGTTTGTAATTATAGCATTAAATAATCTCCTCAAACTGAAGAGTATGTCAACACGTCAATAACATGTGTAATGTATTCTTGAAAAAAGTATACAACCAGCAACAAAAAACTATAACATAATTTATGGTCTTACAGTCTATTCAAAAAAACAAGTTTCATGAACATGTCTTTTCTATTTCTGTACTAAATAAACTTTAACTGGATGAATATGTATTTCTTATGTTACAAACTTCAGTCAGTGTATCATGTTGATACATGCAATTCAAGTTAAACTCTGTCAGCCCCTAACAATAAAACAGAATTAAATACATGTACAAACCTGCATAAGTATATATGACAAAGATATTACCAGTGCAGATACAATTTGAACAAAATTTAACAGTTTTCATACAAATAAACATAAAAGCCATACACAGCACATAAAAGATAAAAGTTTCAATATTAACAATACTAACACACTCATATAGCCTTTCATTTTTGTTATACTTCTGTTTCCATTGTGTATTACACTAACAAGACTTACTATTACCTGAAGCAAGTGATGCCAAATTTCAAAGCTAAAAATTCAAGACCATTAATTAAAAATATGCAATTCTAAACCTTTAAGGGAAGTTGAAAACTGACAATTATGATTTATGGTACTGACATATAGCATTAAAAAATCCAAACAAGGTCTGGCAAGCTGATAATCAGTGACTTATGGGCACAACAGGAGAGTATTGCCCTTATTTTAAAACTACAACACTAATGACTTTTAATCACTAAGAGTAAAATTATGCAAGGGTTACAATTTGTTAGTAATCCGATAACCTTAGCCAAAGTTTGGACATTCTACAAAATCTGTTACCCAACTAAATTGAAGACTGTTCATAATATTTATGTACACTTCATAGAGTAGGTCTATGGCCTTCCTACAATGCCATTTACATTTATAGTATTAGTAAAATAGTGGCAGTGAAAGTTTATTATGCACAAAGGTGTGTTTACATTTCTGTTTTCAGTATTACTTTCTTGAAGTCTTGCCATTCTGATTTTATGCCTAGACTTGGCAGCACAGTTACCTAAATACTGGTTTAGGCCCTGGAAGTAAGTCTCCATATACCAGAGATTCTTAAGTGAAATGGTTTAAAACCACTTTAGGTTGAGGCCTGCCCAAACATCAGTTTAAATATAAAGAACATACAACCAAATATAATGTTGCCACCATTTTAAAAACTTTGCTCTCTTTTATAAATATTACGGAGAAAACTTAAATTTTTTAAAATATCCAGCAATTCAGGTACAATTAAAAATTACAACATAATTATATCTATATGAACAATCAGTTACCCAATTTCCAGTTGAAAGGTAAGAACTAAAATATTTGATTCATTACTATACAAAGAAGAAACCATTAATGTTGACTTTGGTGCACTTCCTTCTCTTGTTTCTTGGCTCCTCCTAGATAATGATAGTTACCAAAGCGACCAAGCTGAACTAGTTGAGCACATTCATTTGTGAAGTGGCATGCAAACAGCAACATATTTCGAGGTTGGACCCTTATTGCAAATCTCATGAACATGAGGGAATACAGGCAAAGAGCTGAGAAAAGAGATTTGTTTGTAAGTCAATATACATGAGAATTCTGCATTTCCAAAATAGTACAATTCTGGTCAATTCAAATGCAAGAATCCACAGAAATGTCAATAGCAGGTAGCTGTATATTTTCATATATGTTGCAAATTTCACCTTGCGATAGGCTAATTATTCATGCATAACAAAGTAAAAATTAAAATCTCAGATTAACTGCAACCTGGAATACAATGAAGTGTCTACCCTTGAATGCACAAAAAGAATATAAACATTTTCAATGTGAGACAGATTGTGACAATTACTTGTAAAAAATCTTGTAGTAAACTGAAATTTGATAACAGCTGTTCACAATGTCCAAAAAATAAATGTAATTTAAAACTTCATAGCTTGAACTGCCTCATTAATGAAGCACAAATGTGATGGGACAGTTATGAATAATGTACGATTTATTTTCAGTAGAACAACTTTACTTGTACTTACCACATGTCATTTTTCCACTGATAAATTGAGGACTCTTCTGAGTATCTGCTATTGCTGCTATAGGAATTCCCCAGTTTGCAACAGGACCCCAAAAGTGGGTGCTGAAACAAACATAATAAGAAATTAGTTTTTTTATCACATAGCACATAGATGTGGTAAAAACTATAACCATGGGCCAGGGTAATTAATTTCTGTTTATTTTATTATGAACTAACCTCATTAAATAATCGCGAAACTCTTTGCTTTTGAGCTGCTCGATTCCTTGCTTAAACAATTTCCTTCCTAGAGCAGCCATGTCAATATGTGTTAAATTGGTAATTTATTTACGTAATTACATCAATTTATACAAAGCAGTTCTTCGACAACTGAGTCCGATTCAACTTAAAATGTTACAAGTTCATACTAAACACCTTTCTATGTAACATAGTACACGGCTAGCATATCACAGATGACATGATGACAAACGAACAAAACTATAGTACGCAAAATTTCCCACAAAAGTGTAAATGTAGACAGAAGATTCGATAAATATTTTGTTGTCAAATCTAAAACTTCTTGACGATGGTAAAGAGTCAATTGAATAAAAATTTACTTGGAACCTGAAGACGGAGATAGAGTCCCATCTCCGAAACGTCGTTTTACGTTTTATATTTACTAGACGATGGATAATATCCAAGTAAATTTTTATTCAATATTTTGTTGGTTTCATAACTATATCTCAAAAAATAATATCAGAAACTTATCCTTTAATTATGTAAATATGCATTATAAACACAGGATTTGAGAATACGCGGCTGTTTTTTCTGGGTTGTGCCCTGTAGTCTGGTAGAAGTTTACCGACGTTTCAGTGGTCCTTGCTGCCTCCGTCATCGGTAAACTTCTACCACACTACACGGCACAACAACCCAGAAGACAGCCATCTTCATGCATTATAAACGTTTTAACGTTGTAAATAGCAATGTAATTTTCCCTGGATAAAACGTTCCTGTAATGCTTAGTATTAATATTTGTTCAATATATATTCTATCTTGAAGGACACACAATGTATCCGTATTAATCATAAAAATTGGTTTATGCTATTTAGGGTAATTATGTGTTAATTTAACGATTCATATAAAACCTATAAAACCCTCTGTAGGGGAGATAAAGTTATTGAATGTAACGGTATATGTGACGATTTTATTCTTCGGTGTGACGGTGTATATACTGGTAATCCTGACGTGAGTGAACTGAACCCTGAAGACGGAAAGAGTACATCACCGAAACGTAATGTAACCTTAATAACACAGAGAACCTCAACTCCGATAATCTGTGGTTACTGAGCATTCCTACCATTCAAGGTTTCCTTTACGTGTCGTCCTCGGTTTTTTATAATTGTTCACAAACATTCAGAACAATATTACATACTTTAATTAAAGTTATATGTTTTTAAGTAATATAATTTTAATAAAATTAATTTAAATTATATATATATATATATATATACACACACACGTGAAAAGAATTCCAAACACAAAAATAGGTAATTGTGTTAGGAGAATAACCCATGCACTATCGTTTTTAGCATCCGACCATAATTACCATTACTCCGCAATACAATTGTGAGTAATGCTCAATGTGCATCGTAGTAGGTCAAGAACATCGAATAATTAACTTTTCAACATGATGAAACTATATTCAGATTAAGTCCGTCTTACACAGACAGATTTCCTTCGGGGAATGAAAGCCCTTTTGTTGGCAAATCTACTTATGCACCGTGCCTCAAATTGTTATGTCTTTTTGTATCCATTCTCTATTGGGGTTGTGTTATTTGCAAGCAATGGTCTCATGAATTGGGTTGAAGTGGCGATTGATCGGATCCAAAACGAATATTATTGATCTTTGCTACAGATTATTACCGAGAATAGAGTAGCGCGTTCGCGACCACGCATTTCATTCGATAAGTCGATCAAGCGATCATTGATGTTTGTGAAGGTCGATTTCTTTCATTATATGTCGATTAGAATGATTTGGCGCCATTCAAGAAATTAGAAGAAGTAGTCAGGTTAGAAACGTTTTCGCAGGTGATTTGAGTATGTTCGTGATCCGCGGATAAAAGTGTGATTATTTAAATTACAATGTGTTGGTATTATTTTACGATCTGATTCCCCTAAATGAAAGTATGTGGTAATTTCGTACATGATTTGGTTACATTAATAATTTATAATTAAAAATTGATGAGCTTTCTGGAATTAACATTGATACCCTTTTTTCCTGTGGACGTACACAGTAAGCTTGTTCTCAACACCAGTGGCGAAGAGAATAAATAAACTTTTTCTGAGTCACTTCTGAAAATTGTGCATGTAATGGGAGATAGACAGAGTTTTAAAATAAATTAAGGAACATTTCAGGCATCCAGAAGAAGGGCTTATTGTTTATTGTCCAGATGGTTCTGAGCTACCAACCTATGTGAGATTTTAACCTGATACTGTTTACATCCTAAATAATAAACCAACTAAGTGGATGGGATATGAATTTGCATGAGATTCAGATTGTTGTGGCAGAACATTATCATCTGATTCTGCTTACATATAAATATGTTTAACAGTAAAGTATAATAATATGTCTCTACTTGTAATCTGCTTATATCTCTCTAAGTCTGTATTTATGTTCCTGCTGCATGTGTAAAAATAGGCAAGAAATGTGTTTTACTGTATATCATAGCTTTTGTTTTCTGACATTTCCCTCCTAAAATCCAAAAATCTATTGCTGTGCTTTTGTTCTGGAAAGGGAGCAACACTGAAGTAGGGGTATACCTCTTGGGTAATTGAAATGGGAATGTTCTTTTTTATGCTGTCATAGTAACTAGTAAGGCATTGACAACTTTATTCTCTGTTTTTTTTCCATTTTAGTCTATTTTATATTCAAGGTTTCATGATGGCTGTGTGGACTGATGTTACTACAGGGTTTAATACAGAAGAGGAATCTGTTAATTTTGGACCCCGGGCAGTTTCAGATGACAGTAATGTAATATTTGAAATTCTGACACTGGCAACAATCCAGCCTCAGGGGGAGGTATGTTGTTGACCTTTTCTTATTTATTGCCTCAGATAATACTTTTCTGCTCTCATTAAATATATGAATAATGTGTTTTGTTGGCAAGTAATATTAGTTCCAGAAATGTATTCATGTAAGATTTGGCATAGAAAGTGAAAGGTTTAAATAATTGGATTGTAAACACAAAGTATATTTTAACAGAGACTAATATACTTATCTTTTGATGTTGTGTTATAGGTTGTGAAGAATCCACATGTTGTTGCTGCATCCTTCTCTGGGGACAGTGTTTGTATAGCAGCTGATAGATCTCTCATAGTATTTACTGATGAAACGTGTTCTGAAGTAAACTTTACTTACACCTTTAATTCATCAATTGACTGTTTTACTCTGTCAGATGACGGATTGTTTACCATTGTTGGTGTTGAAAGTACTGTTCATTGTTTATACCATTCTGCAAATGGTCAGCTACTATTTTCAAGGTACACTACACTTACTTGATACAGCTCTATAAGGATGATTAGTTTACTTAGTGTGATACCTCTGTTCCAGTCTTAACTCTGTTATATGCTGAAATGTGGTTAAGCAAGGATATGCTCAGAAAAGTATGTAATTCACTGTCTGATTTTTCTGCAGCATTGTTTAAAATGGGTTCAAATTTGTTCATGTATGCAGAATGTGACTGTTATAACATTTAAGAGTACTATTCAACTTTAAGCTGAAACAATAGGCTTTTAAAAGTTTGGGTTTTTTATTTCATCTTGGCATTTTTCCTTCATTGACAACACATCTTTGTTATCTGTTGAGTAAATTTCTGAGTGCATAATGCACTTCAGTTGGTTGTATTGTATACTGATTAGTGCTAAAAACTGTTTTTAAATGGTAATGACGAATGGCTCTTTGTTTGAATTAAACTTGTATGAATTGTGTAGAGTGTATCTAAATATGTGTACAAAAAAGTTTTGTTTAGTTTGGCTGACTAATTGCTTGGAAAAGTATTTTCTGTTTTGAATGTTAAAAAATATATTTTATTTAGAATTCAATCACATTTTTTATTGAAATGAATGTTAAATAAGACTCTGTTTCATTGATTGCTTAGACTTGTTTTTTGTATTGGTCTGTGGCTCATCAGATGCTTTCTTGTGATAATCACCCATTTTGTCATTGTCAAAGAGAAATATATTTAAAAGAAGGCTTCACAAGATGACAAAGCAACACAACAGTAACAACAGCAGTAATTACACACTGCTTTTGATGAGTGATAACATTTGAACTATTGATGTTATAAAACTGATTTGAGTATGTGTGTGCTTGTGTGAACACATTTGCAAGGGGTGTGGGGTGTTCGTGTGTTTTGTTAACTCAGTCATTTGTAAGGTTGTCCCTTGTTATAATACTGATATAATATGAAAATATTGTGCAGATATATATTTAACCATTTTATTTTCAGGTCAGCATTGCCTGCACATTATGATTTTTCTTTCATTAACATATTCATCCATGCCATTGGGAACCATGCATATGACATATTGATGATTGCAAATTCAGGACAAATATTCAGGTGTGTATTCTGCTATGCATCTGTAAACTAAAGTGTTTTGAAACAATATCATTCCTACTATAAGTTTCATTCTTACTGCCTCTTGTAATGACTATTTAAACACTTAAATAACTAAGTAAGTTTTGAAGGAGTTATAACTGAAAAGCTTGACAATACCTTTGAAAGCCTTCGTGTTTCCACATGTTAAATAATGTAGGAAGCATATTAAGAATTACATGTAATCAACATCTTGATTTCATTTACATTGTCTTAGGACAATTAACTCCATGGAGCAGAGTCTTTCTTGAGGAGTCGGTGTTACACTCAACTAGTCCCAGTTCTTGCCTTTTTATGTATCCTGCAGTTTCATTACTGTGTTCAAAAGATCTTGCTATTGGTCCCTATCCTGAGATAGATGACAATGAATCCACATCCCTGTTTCCATAACATCCATATTAATATTATCCTCATATCTGTGCCTTCAGGGTGGTATCGTTCCTTCTTGCTTTCCAACCAAAATTATGCACACATTTCTCAGCTCTCTCGTGCATGCTGCTTACCTCCACCTATCTCATCCTTAATTTGGTCATCCTAATAATATTTTGTGAAGAGTACAAATTATGGAGCTCCTCATGCAGTTTTCTCTAGCTTGCTGTCACTTCATTCTTTTTAGGTCAAAATATTCTCCTCTGCACCATGTTTCTAAAACCCTTGTCTGTCTTTTTCCCTTCCTGTGAGTGGGCAAGTTTTACACTCGTAAAAATGACAGGTAAGTTATAGTGTTGTGTAATTTAATCATTGTTTTTATGTAGTGGACAGGAAGACAAATTCTGAACCAAACATTTTTTGGTCTTAATTTCCTTGTAAATGCAATTTTTATTTGTTAACATCAATCCTAAATATTTTAACTTTGCCACATTTTCATAGGATTTATAAGCTGCCTTTGTATAATGGTTTTGTCCTGTAGTTTGGTTATGAGACATGAACCTATGCTTAATTATCTCTGCATCAACTCCTAGACCAATTTCCTTAATAGAATTTAATTCCCCAAAGCAGGAAGGTAACCTCTTGTCTTCTGTTCATCATTGATTATTCAATATATCTGTAGTTACTGTCCATATATTCAAGCCTTCCATATTCTGAGGATGTGCCATGCTGTAATGACAAGTGATCTACTTAGTATTTACCTTAGGACTACAGGAATATTTTTTTTCAGAATTCAAGGACTGAATTTTGAAGCTTTATTACAAGCAATTCAGAATGGTGGTAATGAATTAATAAAACAGGTGACTGATGGCATCCAGATTGAAATCATAAGGAGGGAGTGTTGCAAGAGTCAGGTTTGTATATTGAAAGTTCACCTTGACATTTGCTATGTGTTAAGTCTTACACAGTCCAGCTGGCTGATTGCTAAAATGTTAATTCTGGAGTTATATCCTTGTCCACAGCCTTATTGTGTAGCATTTTTAAGTTTCCTATTTGAACATGACAAAGGTTAAAGCAACTGAACTGCATTTTAACTTGATCATGTATAAGCACTCCCACTGGGCTGATTTTACATTTTAATTAAGCTTTATTGTATCAGTCGTAATATGTTCAGCAGTATTGTGTCATACAGTTGATCTTTGTTAAATGTGGGCATTATATATATATTTGAAAATCTTAAGAACTCGTGGAAAAAATTGAGTTTGTGGATCAAGACAAGGAATTTACTATATGTTTTGGTAATAAAAGAATTAGTTTATCTAACATTGAAATTATTAGAGATATGTGGCATGTATGTAACATGTAAGTACTACAAAAGTGAGGAATGCAAAAAAATGCTGAGGAGGATGGGTTTTTTGGAGAAGCAGAAGTTGGATAAAGTGGAAACAGTGACCAGATGGTCTGGTGCCATTGTGAATTGTATAAATGCAAAGAATGGTTGTAAGAGGTAATACATGGAGATTTCAAGCCATGTTGCACAAATCTGTATTTAGGAAGATTCCATTGTATATTCTGAAAATATATATAAACATTTTTTTATGAAAATGTTTAGTTTTGTTGATATTCACCATTTTGTGTGACATTTTAATGCTATCTATATTATAATTTTTTTATTTTCATGTTACTTAGATATCTTCAGCAACACTTCTAACTGGCAGTGAAAATACAAGACTTGTACTTGTGGGTGATGAAATTACTGTTTGGTCATTGGAGTCATCAACGTGTGAATCATGGATGCTTGAAGAACCAGTGTCAAGGATTAAAACTATTAAAGCTGTAGAAAATGCCAGGTGAGAATCTGTTACAGTCATTTGGCTAATGCTGCCACTATATTATTCCTCTCAGATTGAACCTTTGGCTATGAATATTCTTTACTTAAGTGCAAAAATTCATATTCAGAGTAGCATGATAAAATATCTATATAGAGGCATGATTGTGTACTTAATGAATTGAAGGGTAGTCTATGAATGTATTATTCAAAACCTCTGCTACATGCTTTGACCCTTGGGTTATCAAGTGGTAATAAATATAGAGGAGCCATTGTTGAATTTATGCATGTATATATAGCAATGTTATTGGGCTAGGTCAGTAAATCAATTAGGTCTTAAACCTTGAATTTTGATTGCTGAATGATAGTTGGAGCTATGTCCATTCTACTGAATTAATATGATTATTGCACTGTATCTCCCCAAGAACCTGTTAAGTAACATGTCAAAAGATGCAAGCCTGTATCTAAAGGAACATTTTTACTAATAATTTCTACCTTTATGCCCTTTATGTTTTTGAGACACCTATTTGTATTTGCCCATTTCCAACTCTGTATGATCTTTTGCAAGTCATGTTCCATCTGAAAATAAAACATTGTAGATTAATTATACATCTCATTTATGTGATACTTCACATTGCTGTGAGCAAAAATTGATTTTTCTTTTCTTTTTTGGATAGACTACCATTATTAAATTTCTTGAAGTGTGATCAGCCTGTATTTTATAGGGACAGTTGATAGATCTCTGAACTATTTGGATATAAGTGTGAGATTTCAGGTTCTCAAGGCAGTAAGTAAGAAGATGACTGTGTTCTGGGTTGTTACACCATGTGTAATGGTAGAAGTTATATCAACGTTTCAGAGATGCTTGCTTACTCCTTTATTAGGGCACTGATGGAGGCAACAAGCATCTCAGAAACATCTGTTAATGTGTACTAGACTTCACAGTGCAACAACCCAGAAGAGAGTTATCTTTCGTTTGAATATATGCCTAAGGAAAATGTAGAACTGAAATGAATTGTTTTTGAAAATTACGGATTTAGATATATTGGAGTACTGATTTTCTGTTTCATTTCAGCTTGCTTATTGGCCTTACTGGAGATGCAAAGTTGATTCTTATCTGCACACAAACACTTCTTTTTGTGTCACTGTGGCATGAAGTTTCTATTCAGGATTTTGTTGTGCTAGATGGGGTTTCTGGTATGAATGGAACTAGTATTCTTCTTCTTACCCAGCCCATCGAGTCTGGAAAGTCTTACATACAACTAGCTTCATTGCCAGGTATCAGTAGAATTGTCTTATTTTGTTATCAGAGTAAAGCAGTGGTACACATCAATGATGTACTGTTCAGGTTTTCAGAGAGAAAATATATGTGTGTACATGTGCTTATACTTGTAGATGTATTGTGTGCATATGTGAAATGTTATTTGGGAAGATTAATAATATTTTTTAAGTTTTAGTATCTTAAGTATTACTTGAATATTTTAGAAGTGCAGAAAAAGTCCATTATAGTGAGTACAGCTTATAACAAATCCATTTTATAATTTTTTATGCATTGTCAGTGTAATAATTAAATTTAGGAATATTCTTCTCTTATAATGAGAGCCCTGTTTTATTATTTTCAATGTAATGAGCACTTTTGATCCCTTTTCACATTTGTGTAATATTTTTTGTGTTAAATGTTTCTTAATCTTTATTGACCATGTGACACTACTTACACCTGGCTGTGCCTGACTGTGCCATAATAGCGTACTGCTAAACAGTTAAACCCCATAGTTAAAGTCCAGCTGGTAACCCTTCAGTTTATTCATTTCAAGTGCTTGTATATTATACCTTTATTTTACAGCTTTTTGCAAGTAGTTCTGATCACAGATGTATGCAGTGTGTATTATTAGGTTGTTATTAATTTCAAGTTTACTTCTGCTGCTACTGCCATCACTTCTGCCACCTAAGAAATACCCAAGTTATGTTGGAAGTTTCCGCCTGTGGTTCTGAATTACGTTTCATTTATCTGAAAAGATATTGTATAGATGAAGGCTGTCCTAGATTATATTATTTTTTCAGTGTGTAATTGTTTTGTTTTTTTGAACAGAGTTGGAAATCAAATTCCAATTTTGTGTGTCTTCAGTGACATTCCTTGTGTCATTAACATCAACTACACAAGAATTATTATTTCTGGAAGGAGTTGGAAGTTCAAACTCTGAATCTGTACTTTCTCTTCATATCAGAAACATTGTGGAGAGTCTTCCAGAATACAGGTTAGTTCAGTTAGTTCAAACTATTTAATGGAAGGAAATTAAACTATGTCAGCTATACATATATTTTCTTTGTGTACACCATTTGTATAGTTAATAGAAGTGCTTTTCTAAGATGTTACCAGAGAAGACCTGGAATAGAACTAAGTACCACATTGAAAACTTTATTACAGAGCTGTTATGTGAGTAGGTAAACTATGAATGGAATCTTACCTAATCTTTTAGTGCATCAAACATAAGAGTGCATAAATATTTGTCACATTTAACCTACTTAAACATGCAGGGGATATGTGGTGGTCTTGGGGGTATAAAACACTTGAGTCTCATTAAGGGTTTTGAGTTTCATCCCCAGTCAGATTTGTGATCTATGAGTTTTTATGATTGCATTCTGAAGCGTTCACCTGTGCCAAATTTAAAACTTTGCTTGTACCATGCTTTGGAACTTATGGTGAATTGTAGGTCCCCTCTGTTGCTCATCTTCATAAACATCCTTTCACTGGGATAACAGAATCTGCCACATGGGTGCCTGCCATCATAAACTGATTCTAGACTTGCCTAGGATTAGCAGAGGTCAAGAAAGTATGCTGTATTAATGTTTTGAACCAGTAGCACTAGTTCTGAAACTCATCCTGCAAACAGACTAAGCCTGAGAGTTGTTTAGTTGAATGATAACCACTCAGTCTGAAATTAAGGTTTCTGGTATAGGCCCTGTGTTATTGTGGAAAATATGCTTTACATTATTATGCTATCTCCTTTTAGAGACTGTTTTAATAAATGACTTTCACTAACCTTTACAGTAGTGTTAAGAATTATTTAAGCATTTCACTTGTTTTGAATACAATTTCTTATTATTTCATGTGAAATAAAATTAATTTTACCCCAGAGAAAGACCATTGAGAGTTTATATACATGAAGATGGCTGTCTTCTGGGTTGATGGAGGCAGCAAGGACCTTTGCCACAGTGGCAAACGTCTAACAGACAAGGTGCTATAACCCAGAAGACCACCATCACCATGCTGACTGCCATGAGAATCTCAAATCCTACTTATACTGTACATGTTTTTGAGTGAAAGCATTATTTATTCTGGAGACAATGTTGCATTAATAGAGATAAATAAGAGAAACTACAGTTTGCTTCTTTTGTCTACACAATTTTCTAAAATTGGCAGATTGATATTTTGATTGGATGCATCTTACAATTTTTAAATTATATATTTTCTTTAATTTAGATTCCAGAGATTGTTGCAACGACATACATTTGATGATGCAGAGACATTTGCATGTAGGTTCAAGCTTAATGTTGAATTGGTATACAAAGAACGTGCCAAACATTACATGAAATTTCTTCATCCATGGTCTTTGTCTCGTGATAGTTCAGAAGAAATAGTAAATTTTAATAATTTTATTAGCATGATGAACAACATTAAAGACCTTGAGTTTATTTGCGAAGCCTGTATGAAAGTGCTTACTGTTGATCTGGCCAAAGTGCGGGAACTTCTGGATTATGCAAGTGACAGATTAAAGAAAACTGATGTGAGGGTGAGTAATCTGTTTAAATTACATATTCCAGTGTTTTTAAAAACATAGTTGTAAAAATTTAAGTAATATTTAAGCTGAAAGTGCAGTATTTTAGAGGCACTTAGTTACCGGATGCCTATATGAGGATAATGAAATTATTTATGTTTTTTGTTGACAAAAGTGCATAATAGTGGACATTTACCAGTTACTGGAAAAGATTCAGTGAATGCTGCTATGTTATAATGTTTTCATTTCCTTTCTTCTTCATTTTTGTAGAATTTAAACACAGCAAAGATATCATCTTTAGAGTCTGAGTTATGGAGCACATCAGTAAGACTGGACACATTTCAGCTTGTCTACCAGTCAGACCCAGAGAATATGAAGTGGTGTGAGTTTTCTCGTGCAGATCTTTTGTGCGTGTGCAAGCAACATTTACAGCAGGTGTGTTGTGGCACATATTAAATTAGTACAGTACAGAAATGCAGACTTCAGAATTTGTTTGCTGTCTCTTCTATTTATCCCTTCTCTTTTTTAAACAGTGAACTTTATAAATATTTTTAACTAACGTTTGGACAGGGGAAAGGCAACTGTTTATGAAAATAGAGGAGTACAAAGGTGAAGGTAAATCAGTTTAGAACTAATGAATTTGTGTCCTTTTCAGTTTTCATTCTTTAGGTTTGAAATCTTCATCGGTGTGACTTTCTTAAATTGGCTGTTTATGTTTCCAATAAAATGTAAATATAAGTAACAAGCTAATTTATGGGAAACTTATAATAAAGTTATATTTGGTAATGGATGACAGACTGAAGACTGCAGTTAAGTAATGAACACTGCTGCTTTGTATCTGGGAGGTCCCACATTCAAATGTTGGCCTGAAGGCCAGTTATCCTTATAGAGAATTTTCATGGTTTTCATCAGTCCATCAAGCATAGTACGTTAAAACAGGCCATGACCACTACCTTCCACATCCTGATCACCTTACTGTTCACTGCTATATAATCTGGTAGTTTGGTAATGCCTTTGTTTTTATTGCCAAACATTTTTAGGTTATTGTGTATTTTGTTTGAATGATTTGAAAGATATAAATTAGCAGGTTCATTATTTTTGTTATGTGAACTACTCATGGTATAGTTTTTCCAGTGTGTCCATCACATTATAGAAGGCTAACATCTGTTTAACTTGTTAGTACATAAGGAATTTAGAACTGGTTGCAATATACATATACTACAGTTTCTCAGGATGTTTGGAAGCATACTCTGCTTATTGTTTAGGACAGTAGTTATGAAGCAAACATTTTCTGCAGCATTGTTGTGATGCCCACTTTTCAGTTTCTATGTGGCTATTACAGAATGTGTAACTAAGTTCAAACATTGGAAGTATAAAATACCATTTACATATTGAAATTACTCTAGGGTTTGGAATGAAATTTGGTAACATCTTCAACTTACTCACTTCTGACTTGTATTATTATTGAGAGACAAAACAGTAAAATAGTTTGAGAATTATGATTTATATTCTTTGCATTTAAAAATGTACATACAAAAATAAATAATATTTAATTTATATGTATTTAGTAAAATGTTTAGTATGACATGTTTGTTATGTGATTTTTTGTCCTGTACAGGGTCAACTAAGTCAGGCTTCACTCATATGGGCCAGACACTGGAATAACTTCAAGTCTGTGCTATCAGAAGCCACAGTTATAGCTCTGCTGAATGCAATTCCTTCTGGTATGAAGGTCTCTGATTTGATTTCTTGGATTTATCAGTTCATTCCTTCGGTACTTTGTGTTACACCACAGTCAATGCAGCATGTTGTCAGCTGGACCATAAAGTCTATTAAGTATGTCTCCTGTCATTTAAAGTTCCTCTTGATTATTAATTAATTAATCACATATTAACATTTAATGCTTTTTAACAGTTGGAGATCACTGAATGTACTTTACTTTTGTGAATTAAAATCGGACATAATTAGGATGATCAAATCAAGGAGGATGAGATGTGTGTGACATGTGGCACAAGTGGGACACATGAGAAGTGCCTACAGGGGTTTGGTTGTAAGACTCTAAGGGATGGGACCACTTGGAAAACCTAGGCATAGTAGGGAGGATCATATTGAAATGAATTCAAAAGAAATATAGTGAAAGGGCTTGGACTGATTCATCAGGCCCAGGATAGGGACATTTGCAAACTTTTGTGAACATGATAATGAACCTTCAAATCCTGTAAAGGATGATCAAATCAAGGAGGATGAGATGTGTGTGACATGTGGCACAAGTGGGACACATGAGAAGTGCCTACAGGGGTTTGGTTGTAAGACTCTAAGGGATGGGACCACTTGGAAAACCTAGGCATAGTAGGGAGGATCATATTGAAATGAATTCAAAAGAAATATAGTGAAAGGGCTTGGACTGATTCATCAGGCCCAGGATAGGGACATTTGCAAACTTTTGTGAACATGATAATGAACCTTCAAATCCTGTAAAGGAATTTCTTGATAAACTGAGTGACTATTAGTTTGTGAGGAAAGACTGTTGCATGTAGTTGGATTAAGGATGTTTCAGGGGTTGTGTCTACTTCCATCTTCAGGTCGAGGAGTACCATCATACTGATTTTTATATTTCAGTAGACCTTTATTGTACTGCAGGTGTCGAGGGACAACTTTAACAGTCACCTTATAAACTGCCAGTATTATCAGTAAAACTGTCTTGGGAATATGATCTTATGCATGGTTTGTCTAGTTCCATGATGTAATGAGGTTCTACTGTATTTATACTGTTTGTGACCTTCTGAATCCTAATACAAGTATGCTACCCTTAGTGATCTATTTGTATAAAACTCTGTTGCATTTCTTATTTATGTAATGTAATGTTGAGTTATGTATAATTTTGAATGCTGGAAACTGTTTTGTGAGACAAGTGATGAGTGTTTGATCTTTCCAGGTCCTTGGAAGTTGAAAGAAGTAATTGGCTCAAGTTGGGGCTGGATTTTGCAGAGAAGGTACTTCAAAGTATAAACATGAAACCATATTCCCATTTAGATTTCTACCATCAGCAGTTATTGGTGACTAGCACACATTGCTTGGAGCTTATTGAAATGGCCAGTACATTAAGACAATTGCAACAGCTGAAAGAGAATCACAAGATCCATGTTGCCCTTGCAGACTTTATGCAGGTATGAGGTGTGGTATTTAACTGTGTTCATTGAGGTATTCAGAATTTGTTTTAGAAAGCATTACTTGTTTCAGAATATTTTGCTGTTATTGTGCATTGCACTGGGGAAAGTTGTGTTAGCTTTTAGTGTATGATATGGGTGTAGAAATAAAAAAAGTCAAGTTTATTTTTATTTTTTTAACTGTCACATCCTGCTTATTATGTTACAATACTTTTATTGTTGTAGAGTTATTAACAAACATAGTGTTTTGAAACTGATTTCCATGTATTCCACATGGTATTTAAATGTGTGTGAACTGTAAAATGCAAATGTGCTATGTCTGTAGAAGAATATTATATGAAACAGCATTTGCCATTATATTTGAAAACAAATGTGTTTTTCTTCTTTCTTTTAAACAGACTGTTGTCCATATCATGCCACAGTATCATATTTTAGCATCATTCTGTTACTCTTTGTATGTGGTTTTAAGCTTCTGTGAGAGTAGTGGGCTCTTGAATTTGTGTGAAAGTTTGATAAATTACTTTTGTTTAATTAAATATGTACTATCTTACATCTGGGGAGAAAGTAATTTACTTATGCATTACACAAATTCAGAATAACAAATGAATAGTACAGTGAAAACTATTCAGTTGTAAAGAGAGTTACAAAATATTATGATCTGATAAGTAGATTTATCATTATCCATTATGAGATTAATAAATTGTTTTGTGTCAGTTTGGCTGAATAAAGAATGAAGTCTTCTGTAGCAGAAAAATAATTTTATACTAATTTAAAATTGTCAGAAGAGACATCACTGAAAATGGATATTTGTAATTTAGAAATATTTTATATTTCTTACAGAGTGACAAGAGTGAAGTGGTTAGCATTTTACTGGGAAAAGTAGCCCCAGTTGACATCAAACCATTAATGATTCAGTTTCTCAGAAAGTTCATGTTGGATAATTCTTTGGTACCAGATATGGTACTGTCTGAGTGTATACATAGAATTCTCAGTCAGTCAGCAAGTTGGTGGTACTACTATGCAGAAGCACCCTGGGAAGATACTGTTGCTGCTGTCATACCTTGCATCAATGACCTTGGGGTATGAACATTATTAATATGATATTAGTTATGTATTGCTTCACCAAATAAGTCTTCCATGATGTGGAACACAAAATTGAAGACCTCACCATTTCACCTCTTTTTTTCTTCCTTCACCATGGTTGCCATTTTATGTCTTAACTGTTAACATTACCTAGAGTCCAGATGAATGCAATGTTAACTTGGCAGTGCTGTTCTGGAGGAAAGCATTGTACTGTTCAGTGCCCATAATGTCATGTTGCAAACTCTAATGAAACACAGAGAAAGTTATGTCAGCATATGATACATGTATCATCTGAAACTTTTACGGCGACTAAGTATAATGAATTCTCGAGCTACCAGCCTTATAATGTGGTTTAATGGAGAAAACACTAATGTTTCAAGAACTTTTTATCTTCTTCCTCAGCGACCCTGAGGATTGGTAGATGTCAACCTGAGATTCAATATCTGAGATGAGGTTTGCTTGGTTATCTTCGGTACTTGGGATGGATCTTGCAGTAGTTTGTTAAAAATAAAAGACTGATTTCATCCTGGTCCTTATAAATGTTTGTAATTATTTCACAGCCCTTTGCATGAATTCTTACATCTCTGAGCATAATATGCCTGAAATAACTGAATGTTATATATTTTTTTATTGCAGGTACGTGTGAAGTGTATCATATCAGTACTCAAAATGGCTCCTGTCCCTTGGAGTGCAACTGTAGTTGGTATTGCTAAACAAGGCCTGGAAGTGGATAATCCTTCGATTGGATTGCTTAGACATGAACAGAAGATGATGGATGTGAAAGTTGTTCAAAAGAAGTATGGTTTCACCAAATTCTTGGTACAAAATTGCAATGTAAGTACGCACATCGGTTCTACGCTGAAGCATAATCACAGATCACTGTATATTATAAGCAGTTTGTAGCAAGAAAAATTCAGTATGGTCTCCGAAACATTGGTGTACAACCAAATGACTACGTGCCATAACAACCCAAAAGACCACCATCTATACTAAATTCAGTGTTTGTAAGTCATTCTGCATTTTATGTTATTTGTTTATCCTTTATTTTATGGCACTGTCAGTAGCTTAGACTATACAGTATCAAATGATGTAAACAATTAGGAAGGAAATGGTTGTGCACTATTTTAATCCTTTTGCTGTACATTATTTTCTTACCACTTTCCTGAAATAATGCAGTTTTAAGGTATAAATATGAAAAATGTTCAATACTCTTTTCAAATTTAACCCCTTAAGTGGGCTAAGCACATATATGCACGGGTGGTTAACGCCCACCCAGTGGAGAGCACACATATAAGCGCGCTTCAGAAAAAAATACAGTTTCTTAGTGGGCTAAGCTCAGGTATACGCATTATTTCTGTCATGCCTCAATGGAGTGTTCTGCTATGTACCAAAATTTTTTTAACTCAGTGGTCTTGCCCTATGTAGCAGTATGTGCAGTCTTAAAGTGAATGTTTGGGGATGTTTTAGCACTGCTTTCAAGCAGGAAACCCCAAACAGTACCTTTTTTGGGGGTTATTAAGTTGAAATCAGTGAGTTTAGAGAGCAGTCAAGTGTTTTTATGTGGTGAAATTGTTAGTAAAATAGCTAAAAATTTAAACAACACGAAATTTTCTGTTTCCTTACCTAATAAATGTGTATTATCCATATTATATAAACAATTCATAATTATTTTTTATAAAATATAGAAGACCTACCTGGTATTGCAATGGTATAAATTTTCCCCACACTTAAGGGGTTAACATATTTTTTTGTATACTTTAAAAGCTTCAAACTAGGTAGCTGCACCATGGAGACCAAAAATTTGTTTTCATAGCTCAGTGAATGAAGTTGAATGTCACAGTGAAAGGATAAGATTATTTCTTGATGTGGACAAAAGCAGAGTGTTGCAATGTATGATAATGGATGGTTCTTTGACTTCACTCGAATATGTAATAGTGTTATGTAAAATTTAAATGTAATTAACTCCTAATTTATTTTTTAGCTATATGACTTAATGCACCAGATTCGGATGATCTTTAAACAAGGCCATGAGGATATGCTGCAGGATGCCTTAAAATATGCATCTCTAACTACAAAGTTATTAGAAGAGACTTACGTGATCTGTATTGAACATTATCTCGAAAAAGGCAAACAGAAGCAAGCATTGGAGTTATTAGATAGCCTGAAGACTGCTTTGATTGTTAAATGCTGCCAGAGAATAGTTTTCAGAGCCCAAAGTTACCTACAGAGCAGTTTGCATCACAGGGTTCGTATCTCATATATGGAGGTGTTGAGGTCCTTGGGTTCAAGACTAGAGAAGGCTGCTTGCATCATGGGTGATACGTTCCTCAATGATATTCCATTTCAGGAAGTTAGGAACATGCATTTCCTTCATTTGGAGTTTATGAAAAGATTGTCACTGAAAGATTATAGTTGTGTTCAGTCACGTTCTGAAGTATTAAGTGAATGTATAAGCAATATTTTGAGTGCAACAGATGATCTAACTATAATCTACTGCAAGGTTGGACGGTTAACGCATCTGTTGCAGTTATCTGTTGAAGAAGGAATGTTGGAAATAATTCATCAAGCCACTGGGAATGGAAATGTAATACTTGCCTGCAATGTTATGAGGTAAGATGTTTTTGGATTAGTCATTTGATTTAGTCATAACATGCCCCAGTGGTGACTTTGGGAACTTTGTGGTTTGCTTAATGTTGTACTTTGATGACAGCACTGCTTATCCTAGTCTCATTTTTAGTGCAGTCACTAACATTGTGTTGTGCGTTAATTTGTGGGATTGCAACCCACCACATTTTGACAAATGATCCGCTTATAGATCTGGAGAGAGAATTCATAGCTTGGACTCTTTCATCATGCAAATTTTTGTTCACATGAAATCCTAGAGAACAGAAGAGAATCCTGTAGAAAAATAAACACAAAAGATCTGATATTGTAAGATGTGTCCCTTAAAGTAGGAAGTATGAAAGGCTAAAGATCAGGGTTGTAGAACAACTTTCTGCCTGGAATATTGTATTATGTGACATGATTATGTTTGATGTTGTTAATATGAACTAAATCATGAAGGGGGTGATAATCATCTTCAGTGTTAGTAGTACTGATGCTGGTATTAGATTGGTCACCCTTACTGCTCTCTGTTTCTTTGCAGGAATCTACTGCACTTCAGTTCTCTTTCAAAATCCATAAACCAAAAACTATGTCTCGTGGTGTTTCACTTCTTACAGACAAGTTTCACTGCATCTGAAATTGATGCATGTGCACAGTTAGCACACAGCATTGCAAGTAAAGCATGTACACTGTGCAGTTTCGGTAAGTACATACAAGATTGTTTTGGAGTGTCATGTTGTGAAGTAAAGTTTATATGTTTTAATTTTCCATCTTTATACA